ACTAGGGTGGATGGAGTCTTTGACAATTTCTAGGGCCTTCTTCAAGACACAGCCTGGTATAGAGGTCCCGGATGGCAGGAAGCTTGGCCCCAGTGATGTACTGGGCCATACGCACTACCCTCTGTAGTGCCTTGCGGTCGGCGGCAGAGCAGTTGCCATATCAGGCGGTGATGCAACCAGTCAGGATGCGCTCGATGGTGCAGCTGTAGAACTTTTTGAGGATCTGAGGACCCATGCCAAATCTTTTCAGTCACCTGAGGGGGAATAGGTTTTGTCGTGCCCTCTTCACGACTGTCTTGGTGTGTTTGGACCATGATATTTTGTTGGTGATGTGGACATCAAGGAACTTGAAGCTCTCAACCAGTTCCAATACAGCCCCGTCGATGAGAATGGGGGCGTGCTCAGTCCTCTTTTTGTTTAGTTTTTTCTGTAGTCCACAATCATCTCCTTTGTCTTGATCATGTTGAGGGAGAGGTTGTTATCCTGGCACCACACAGCTAGGTCTCTGACCTCCTCCCTATAGGCTGTCTCGTCGTTGTCGGTGATCAGGCCTACTTAATGACGGCGTTGGAGTCGTGCCTGGCCATGCAGTCATGGGTGAACAGGGAGTACAGGAGGGGACTGAGCATGCACCCCTGAGGGGCCCCCGTATTGAGGATCAGCGTGGCAGATGTGTTGTTACCTACCCTTACCACTTGGGGGCGGCCCGTCAGGAAGTCGAGGATCCAGTTGCAGAGGGAGGTGTTTAGTCCCAGGGTCCTTAGCTTAGTGATGAGCTTTGAGGGCACTATAGTGTTGAACGCTGAGCTGTAGTCAATTAATAGCATTCTCACGTAGGTGTTCCTCTAGTCCAGGTGGGAAAGGGCAGTGTGAAGTGCAATAGAGATTGCATCATCTGTGGATCTGTTGGGGCGGTATGCAAATTGGAGTGTGTCTAGGGATTCTGGGATAATGGTGTAGATGTGAGCCATGACCAGCCTTTCAAAGCACTTCATGAATACAGACATGAGTGGTACAGGTCAGTAGTCATTTAGGCAGGTTATCTTAGTGTTCTTGGGCACAGGGATTATGGTGGTCTGCATGAAACATGTTGGTATTACAGACATGTTGAAAATGTCAGGGAAGAAACTTGCCAGTTGGTCAGCGCATGCTCGGAGTACACGTCCTGGTAATCCGTCTGGCCCTGCGGCCTTGTGAATGTTGACCTGCTTAAAAGTCTTAGTCACATCGGCTACGGAGAGCGTGATCACATAGTCATCCGGAACAGCTGATGCTCTCATGCATTTTTCAGTGTTGCTTGCCTCAAAGCGAGCATAGAAGTGATTTAGCTCATCTTGAAGGCTTGTGTCACTGGGCAGCTCGCACCTGTGCTTCCCTTTTGTAGTCTGTAATAGTTTTCAAGCCCTGCCACATCCGAAGAGCTAACATTTGAATCTAGTTGGTTAGCTTTAGCTACCTGTAGATTCATGCAGGGTGGTAAAGTTATGAGTTGGGATTATGGTTAGTTGTTTAGCTAGCTAGCTTGCTACAGTGCCTTGCAAAAGTGTTCATCCCCCTTGGCGTTTTTCCTATTTTGTTGCATTACAACCTGTAATTTAAATGGATTTTTATTTGGATTTCATGTAATGGACATACACAAAATAGTCCAAATTGGTGAAGTGAAATAAAAAAAATAAAAAAAATAACGGAAAAGTAGTGCGTGCAAATGAATTCACCCCCTTTGCTATGAAGCCCCTAAATAAGATCTGGTGCAACCAATTACCTTCAGAAGTCACATAATTAGTTAGATTGCACACAGGTGGACTTTAAGTGTCACATGATCTGTCACATGATCTCATTGTATAAATACACACCTGTTCTGAAAGGCCCCAGGGTCAGCGACATCACTAAGCAAGGGGTACCATGAAGACCAAGGAGCTCTCCAAACAGGTCAGGGACAAAGTTGTGGAGATGTACAGATGGGTTATAAAAAAATATCAGAAACTTTGAACATCCCACGGAGCACCATTAAAACCATTATTAAAAAATTGAAAGAATATGGCACCACAACAAACCTGCCAAGAGAGGGCCGCCCACCAAAACTCACTGACCAGGCAAGTAGGGCATTAATCAGAGAAGCAACAAAGAGACCAAAGATAACCCTGAAGGAGCTGCAAAGCTCTTCAGTGGAGATTGGAGTATCTGTCCATACGACCACTTTAAGCCGTACACTCCAGAGCTGGGCTTTACGGAAGAGTGGCCAGAAAAAAAGCCATTGCTTAAAGAAAAAAATAAGCAAACATGTTTGGTGTTCGCCAAAAGGCATGTGGGAGACTCCCCAGACATATGGAAGAAGGTACTCTGGTCAGATGAGATTAAAATTGAGCTTTTTGGCCATCAAGGAAAATGCTGTGTCTGGCGCAAACCCAACACCTCATCACCCTGAGAACACCATCCCTACAGTGAAGCATGGTGGTGGTAGCGTCATGCTGTGGGGATGTTTTTTATTGCCAAGGACTGGGAAACTGGTCAGAATTGAAGGAATGAAGGATGGCGGTAAATACAGGGAAATTCTTGAGGGAAACCTGTTTCAGTCTTCCAGAGATTTGAGACTGGGACTGAGGTTCACCTTCCAGCAGGACAATGACCCTAAGCATACTGCTAAAGCAACACTCGAGTGGTTTACGAAGAATGGGCAAAAATCCAAGTGGCTAGATGTGCCAAGCTTATAGAGACCTACCCCAAGAGACTTGCAGATGTAATTGCTGCAAAAGGTGGCTCTACACAGTGTTGACTTTGGCGGGTGAATAGTTTTCTGTTTTTTTGTCTTATTTCTTGTTTGTTTCACGATAAAAAATATTTTGTATCTTCAAAGTGGTAGGCATGTTGTGTAAATCAAATGATACAACCCCCCAAAAATCCATTTGAATTCTAGGTTGTAAGGCAACAAAATAGGAAAAATGCCAAGGGGTAGAATACTTTCGCAAGCCTCTGTACATGTCTAAACAAAATACTCCACTATGCAAGTAACCATTTCACTGTACCATTTACACCTTTTTGTAACATGTGCATGTGACAAATAAACTTGGATTTTATTTGACATTGTTTGTGTTTACCAGATACGGTAATGTGAAGAACAACATGACCTGCACCAAAGTCAATTTAGGATATAACGTTAGGCCAATGAGACGGTGTCCAAGTTCTAACATTTTCAGGTTGTTGCGAGTTTATTTTCCTGTAATAATGAATACAAATTAGCTAAAGTTAAGACGTCAGCTATATGATAATGGACATTATTTGAACTGGCAATCCAGCTAACTTAACGTTAGCTAGCTAGCTAGCTAACAAGCTAGAAACAAATCAAAACATTGTTTAGAAAGTTGCTTTTAGTTTGCTGGTTTTCTAGATTGTCATATACTACATTAATTTTTAAATGGATGGGTTTATTGGTGTTAAATACACCAGTTATGCTATTTTGGACCACCAGGCTGCTGATGTCATGCAGCCTGTAGTTTTAGTTTTTATACTTTTTCATAACGACAACAATCAATCAATCAATTTTATTTTATATAGCCCTTCGTACATCAGCTAATATCTCGAAGTGCTGTACAGAAACCCAGCCTAAAACCCCAAACAGCTAGTAATGCAGGTGTAGAAGCACGGTGGCTAGGAAAAACTCCCTAGAAAGGCCAAAACCTAGGAAGAAACCTAGAGAGGAACCAGGCTATGAGGGGTGGCCAGTCCTCTTCTGGCTGTGCCGGGTGGAGATTATAACAGAACCATGCCAAGATGTTCAAAAATGTTCATAAGTGACAAGCATGGTCAAATAATAATCAGGAGTAAATCTCAGTTGGCTTTTCATAGCCGATCATTAAGAGTTGAAAACAGCAGGTCTGGGACAGGTAGGGGTTCCATAACCGCAGGCAGAACAGTTGAAACTGGAATAGCAGCAAGGCCAGGCGGACTGGGGACAGCAAGGAGTCACCACGGCCGGTAGTCCCGACGTATGGTCCTAGGGCTCAGGTCTCTCAGTTGGCTTTTCATAGCCGATCATTAAGAGTTGAAAACAGCAGGTCTGGGACAGGTAGGGGTTTCGTAACAACAACTTTGATGTCGGACAACAATAGAATGTTCTTGATGTCACTGCGACAACTGTATACAGACATGTCGATAGACGTAGTATAAACCAGCCTTTAGTCTGGTAAGTTTTCCAGCTCTAGTCATTAGCATGCAAAAAGTGATTAGGGGAAAGGCCATGTGCTTTAGATGTGTGAATTCTTTACCAGCTTTGTAAAATCCCTATAGAATGTAGTGACTTTTTAGACTCACTGGAAGGCTGAGTAATGCAATGCTGCTGTAGTGAAGTCAGAAGAATCAAGTGTCCCAGACTAGGATGACCTAGCCAACACTCAAGATCAGATTTTATTCTGAACAATAGGTTGTTGACATGAGCCTCTCCGAAACCGAGACACCCTGAGGGCTGCTGACTAACAAAGAGACCGAGGGAGCTGAGAGTTAGATGGGATGAGAGTGAGATGGGATGCATGACTCACTTCCTGAGGCTCTGGGCCTTGCCCCTCACAAGGAGCTCATTTATTGTTTGTGCCATGACCTAATGGTGGAACGCTATGGATATTGTTTGTTGGTTTCCTGATCTCTTCCTCCTGTGTTGATACCAAGCTTTTTAGTTTGTCAGCTTTTTATGAGGATGTCTTCCGTGTGAGCTGGTGACTGCCAAATTCCAATTTCACTGCTATCACCATAGCTGAGGCGAGCTCCTTTGTTTTATAGGTTGGTTACTTACAGCAGTCTGACTAGACATACCTATTGAGGCAGTAGTAGAGACTCTTATAGCTCAATAAGTGTGCTGTTCATCCCACCCTCCCTATGCTTGTCCACACCTAGTCCCCACATGCCCCCTCTCACCTGGCCCCTGGCAGCGCCTCCCTGGTCCCCCACAGAGGGGCGTTGACAACACCCGAGCCAACCAACAATACCGTCCCTTTTTTTATTTCCTAGAATCTCCCATCTCCTCCTTCAATAGCCCAGTGTACTTGCCACCACCAGACCCCATCGAGGCTGCCGAGTCATTGTTAGGGGATGCAAGCAGGGAGCCCCTGTTGACAGATGGCCTTGGCGACGCAAATGCTGAGTCTCCCCTCCTATCCAGACAACCCAACCCTGTCATATGCTGGGGTACATGCCAGTGCTCTTGTATAATTTATACACCTATTTATATACCCATTGTAATGGAACCATGCCTCCAATAGACCTCAGTTTACCTACCAGACATGCTAGAGTAGATGGTGCCGTTCCCCCCATAGTTTTAATCCCTCCCTGCAGCTGTTTAATCTCTGTATACCCAAAACCCAAAGGGAGGATTACGTTTTGTGTGATAGTGTCAGAGCTTCCCGAGAGAATCCGCTTTCCCATCAGATAATACAAAAACACTCGGGGTAGGCTCTTCTGTTTTAAGTGGATGAGTGCAGCTCAGTGCTACTTCAGTCAGCACAGTGGTTGCCAAGACGAATGAGAGGTGACGGGATGGGGGTTGTCCTTGAGTGAGGAGCTCAGAATGCTGAGGAAGAAGGCAAGAGACCCCAAGGAAAAGTGTGGTGTGAGGAGGAGGAGATGCTCCCCTCTTCACCTTTTCTCTAGAGACATGTACAGAGTGCAAACTGCTGCAAGTGACGCATGGAGTGAGTATAGACCACATCTAGCTTAATCTAATTTTATGACTCTCATCCATTGCTTAATACATTATCCATTACTTTGTTGAAAAAATTATCGATCTTACAAGTAGAACATTTGCAAAGTCATTCTGCATTGTTCGGTAGTAGCTATAGCAGCATAACTTCACAAACAGTCACTATGTACATTGATGATTAAAGGGCAGAATGTAAGTTTAAGGCAAATTAAATGAATGATCGTGGGATGGTAGCGCTTTGTTCTGCAACTCGATAATGCTGGCCAACGAACGTGCCCATCCGATAGCTAGCATGATGAGTCAATGTCGCAAAGTGCCCGGAGTGGGGCGAAAATCACTGTCCTGATCACTGAATATGGAGGGAAAATGCCCCTGCTGTATCAGCCAGCCTGTATCTGCTCTGCGACACGGTCACCCTGCGGACCGGGGCGATCAATAAACCCAATGTCATACATACATGCATTCAATAAAAACTCTTTAAATGTAATCTCTCATCACCCTCTAATGTGCCTTAGGGCACAGTACAATGACCAGCTTAAAGTCTGTGGTATCGCTGGCCTCGGAATGCCAATCCTAGGACCGTGGAAGAGAACAAGCCCTGCATTATCACGTCGGTTAGATCTTATCTCCTGTTCCTATGTTTATTTAAAGTCCTCCCGAAACAGAGACTATGGAACCGTGGCTGACCGTGACTCCGCTGTCTGGCCCTCTCTCTGGGCCTGAGTGGTGTAACGTCAATGCCCTGTTGAGCGCGCAGCCAGGCGGACATTTGCATGCAGTCGATGGTCACTTTATTTTTCCACACCGCCAGTGGCGAGTGGGCTTATCACTTTACATTAGGGCTAGGAATTGCCAGGGACCTCACATTACGATATTATTACTTAGGTGCCGATACAATGCAGTGGCTTGCGAAAGTATTCACTCCCCTTGGCATTTTTCCTATTTTGTTGCCTTACAACCTGGAATTAAAATATATTTTTTTGGTAGTTTGTATAATTTGATTTACACAACATGCCTACCACTTTGAAGATGCAAAATATATTTTTTATTGTGAAACAAACAAGAAATAAGACAAGAAAACAGAACTTGAGTGTGCATAACTATTCACCCACCCCAAAGTCAATACTTTGTAGAGCCACCTTTTGCAGCAATTACATCTGCAAGTCTCTTGAGGTATGTCTCTATAAGCTTGGCACATCTAGCCACTGGGATTTTTGCCCATTCTTCATGGCAAAACTGCTCCAGCTCCTTCAAGTTGGATGGGTTCCGCTGGTGGACAGCAATCTTTAAGTCATACCACAGATTCTCAATTGGATTGAGGTCTCTGGAAGACTGAAACAGGTTTCCCTCAAGAATTTCCCTGTATTTAGCGCCATCCATCATTCCTTCAATTCTGACCAGTTTCCCAGTCCCTGCCGATGGAAAAACATCCCCACAGCATGATGTAGCCACCACCATGCTTCACTGTGGTGATTGTGTTCTCGGGGTGATGAGAGGTGTTGAGTTTGCGCCAGACATTTTCCTTGATGGCCAAAAAGCTAAATTTTAGTCTCATCTGACCAGAGTACCTTCTTCCATATGTTTGGGGAGTCTCCCAAATGCCTTTTGGCGAACACCAAACGTGGTGCCGCTTGCTTGGTGGTGCCCCTTGCTTAGTGGTGTTGCAGACTCTGGGGCCTTTCCGAACAGGTGTGTGTGTGTGTGTATATATACTGAGTGACATATACATGTGACAGATCATGTGACACTTAGATCATGTGACACAAAGGTAGACTTTATTTAAGTAATTATGTGACATCTGAAGGTAATTGGTTGCACCAGATCTTATTTAGGGGCTTCTTAGCATACTTTTCTGTTATTTATTTAAAAAATAATAATAATCATTTCACTTCACCAATTTGGACTATTTTGTGTATGTCCATTACATGAAATACAAATAAAAATCCATTTAAATTACAGGTTGTAATGCAACAAAATAGGAAAAATGCCAATGGGGATGAATACTTTTGCAAGGCACTGTATGTATTGCAATTCTCACGATTTGATACTGTGATGTTATTGCAATTCGACGTTCCAAACATGGTGCTCACCATATGTCTGCTGCAGAGAGACGAGAGAACATGAGAAAAGAGTTTTGATCAGTCAGGGAAATATAACTGCTGAAAACAAATTGTCTCCCTATTTCCATTTAAAAAGAAGATTGAGAACAAACTATTAAGAAGAAATACTGTGGAGTTTTGGTGCAGGTACAGCCAACTAGTGCAAAAATACTATTGCGATATTGTCAAAATTATATGATATCGTCAAAAATAATATCCCGATATGTAACTATCACATTTTTTCCCCCCCATCACTACTATACATATGTAAATGTCGTTTGGGATCGGCCTTTTGTTCAGTGCCCGTAACGCAGGACGTCGAGGCTAGTTTAAGATCCTGTCTTCGAGCTTCCTCTTTTTCTGGGCCTCTTTTTGTCTTGCGTTAATAGGTGGGGGGCTCAGGGACGGGATGTTGTAAAGGTCTTTGAATGTGTGGCTGGGATGGGGCTTCCTCTCCTGTGCTGTCCCTGGTATTTGTATTTATAATGGATCCCCATTAGCTGCTGCCAAGGCAGCAGCTACTCTTCCTTGGGTCCAGCAACATTAAGGCAGTTATATACACAATTGAAAATATTACATGACATTACATTTCATAACACTTTACCCAATACATTTAGTGTGTTCCCTCAGGCCACTACTCCACTGTCACATATTTACAATACAACATCCATGTGTACGTGTGTGTAGAGTGAGTGTCTTATGTGCCTGTGTGTGTCTCTTCACAGTCCCCACTGTTCCATAATGTGGATTTCTATCTGTTTTTCAAATCTGATTCTACTGCTTGCATCAGTTACCTAATGTGGAATAGAGTTCCATGTAGCCATGGCTCTATGTAGTACTGTGCGCCTCCCATAGTCTGTTCTTCACTTGGGGATTGTGAACAGACCTTTTGGTGGCATGTCTTGTGTGGTATGCATGGGTGTCTGAGCTGCGTGCTAGTAGTTTAAACAGACAGCTTGGTGCATGTCAACACTTCTTACAAAAACAAGTAGTGATGAATGCAATCTCTCTTCCACTTTGAGCCATGATAGATTTACAAGCATATTATTCATGTTAGCTCTGTGTACATTTAAGGGCCAGCTGTGCTGCCCTGTTCTGAGCCAATTGTAATTTTCCGAGGTCCCTCTTTGTGGCACCTGACCACACGACTGAACAGTAGTCCCAGTGTGACAAAACTAGAGCCTGTAGGACCTGCCTTGTTGATAATGTTGTTAAAAGCAGAGCAACACTTTAATATGGACAGACTTCTTCCCATGTTAGCTGCTGTTGTATCAACATGTTTTGACCATGACAGTTTACAATCCAGGGTTACTCCAAGCAGTTTAGTCACCTCAACTTGCTCAATTTCCACATGTATTTATTACAAGATTTCGTTGTTTAGGGTTTAGTGAATGATTTGTCCCAAATTCAATGCTTTTAGTTTTTGAAATATTTAGGACTAACTTATTCCTTGACACCCAATTCCGAAACTAACTGCAACTCTTTATTAAGTGTTGCAGTGATTTTGCTCGCTGTAGTAGCTGACGTATATGGTTTTGAGTCATCCGCATACATAGACACACTGGCTTTACTCAAGGCCAGTGGCATGTCATTAGTAAAGATTGAAAAAAGTAAGGGGCCTAAAAAGCTGCCCTGGGGAATTCCTGATTCTACCTGGATTATGTTGGAGAGGCTTCCATTAAAGAACACCCTCTGTGTTCTGTTAGATAGATAACTCTTTATCCACAATATAGCAGAGGGTGTAAAGCCATAACACAAGTTTTTCCATCAGCAGACTATGATCGATAATGTCAACAGCCGCACTGAAGTCTAACAAAACAGCTCCCACAATCTCTTTATCATCAATTTCTCTCAGCCAATCATCGCAAATTTGTGTAAGTGCCGTGCTTGTTGAATGTCCTTCCCAATAAGCGTGCTGAAAGTCTGACATTTGTTTACAGTAAAATAGCATTGTATCTGGTCAAACACAATTTTTTCAAAGTTTATTAAGGGTTGGTAACAGGCTGATTGGTTGGCTATTTGAACCAGTAAAGGGGGCTTTACTATTCTTGGGTAGCGGAATTACTTTTGCTTCCCTCCAGGCCTGAAGGCACACACTTTCTAGTAGTCTTAGATTGGAGATATGGCAAATAGGAGTGGCAATATCATCCGCTATTATCCTCAGTCATTTTCCATCCACATTTTCATACCCCGGTGGCTTGTCATTGTTGATAGACAACAATATTTTTTAAATTTCTTCCACATTCACTTTAATGAATTCAAAATTACATTGCTTGTCTTTCATAATTTGATCAGTTATACTTGGATGTGTAGTGTCAGCGTTTGTTGCTGGCATGTCATGCCTAAGTTTGGTAATCTTGCCAATGAAAATATCATTAAAGTAATTGGCAATATCAGTTGGTTTTGTGATGAATGAGCCATCTGATTCAATGAATGATGGAGCTGAGTTTGCCTTTTTGCCCAAAATGTCATTTTAAGGTGCTCCAAAGCTTTTTTCTGTCATTTTTTGTAATTTATTTTTGTTTCATAGTATAGTAGTTTCTTATTTTTATTCAGTTTAATCACATGATTTCTCAATTTGCAGTACATTTGCCAATCGGTTGTACAGCCAGACTTATTTGCCATTCCTTTTGCCTCATCCCTCTCAACAATAACATTTTTCAATTCCTTGTCAATCCACGGGGATTTAACAGTTTTTACAGTCATTTTCTTAATGGGTGCATTCTTATTAGTAACTGGAATAAGCAATTTCATAAATGTGTCAAGTGCAGCGTCTGGTTGCTCCTCATTACACACCACAGACCAACAAATATTCAACATAGGAATCACTACAAAACTTATTGTATGACCTCTTATTAGGCCCAGCCTTTGGCACTTTGGTTTTCCTAGATATGGCTACTATATTGTGATCAATACATCCGATGGATTTGGATACTGCTTTAAAGCACATTTTTGCAGCAGTAGTAAAGATGTGATCAATACATGTTGATTATTTAATTCCTGTGCTGTTTTTAACTACACTGGTAGGTTGACTGATAACCGGAACCATGTTGCAGGCACTAGTTACAGTTTGAAGCTTTTTCTTGAGTGGACAGCTTGATGAATGCCAGTCCAATATTTTAAATCACCCAGAAAATATACCTCTCTTTTGATATCACATACATTATCAAGCATTTCACACATGTTATCCAGCTATTGACTGTTAGCACTTGGTGGTCTATAGCAGATTCCCACCAGAATGGGCTTTAGGTGAGGCAGATGAACCTGTAGCCATATTACTTCAACAGTATTTAACATAAGATCCTCCCTAAGCTTTACAGGAATGTGGTTCTGAATATAAATGGAAACACCTCCACCTTTTGGCATTTCTGACCCTGGATGACCCTGGACAACACCCTGTCGTTCTCCGCCAACATCAAGGCGGTGACCCGCTCCTGCAGGTTCATGCTCTACAACATTCGGAGAGTACGACCCTGCCTTACACAGGAAGCGGCACAGGTCCTGGTCCAGGCGCTTGTCATCTCCCGTCTGGACTACTGCAACTCGCTGTTGGCTGGCCTCCCTGCCTGTGCCATTAAACCCCTACAACTCATCCAGAATGCCGCAGCCCGTCTGGTGTTCAACCTTCCCAAGTTCTCTCACGTCACCCCCCTCCTCCGCACACTCCACTGGCTTCCAGTTGAAGCTCGCATCCGCTACAAGACCATGGTGCTTGCCTATGGAGCAGTGAGGGGAACGGCACCTCTGTACCTTCAGGCTCTGATCAGTCCCTACACCCAAACGAGAGTATTGCGCTCATCCACCTCTGGCCTGCTGGCTCCCCTTCCTCTGCGGAAGCATAGTTCCCGCTCAGCCCAGTCAAAACTGTTCGCTGCTCTGGCACCCCAATGGTGGAACAAGCTCCCTCACGACGCCAGGACAGCGGAGTCACTCACCACCTTCCGGAGACATTTGAAACCCCACCTCTTTAAGGAATACCTGGGATAGGATAAAGGAATCCTTCTTCACCCCCCCCCCCCCCCCCCCCCCCCCCCCCAATTGTAAAGTGGTTATCCCACTGGCTATAGGGTGAACGCACCAATTTGTGAGTCGCTTTGGCTTAGAGCGTCTGCTAAATGACGTTATTGTGCCCTTGAGCAAGGCACTTAACCCTAATTGCTCCTGTAAGTCGCTCTGGATAAGAGCGTCTGCTAAATGACTAAAATGTAAAATGTAATTTCTGTCTTTTCTGTAGATGTTATAATCATGTATTGCTACCACTGTATCATCAAAGGTATTATCTAAGTGAATTTCAGAGATTGTCAGAATATGAATGGCATCTGTTACTAGCAAATTATTGATTTCATGAACCTTGTTTCTTAAGCTACATATGTTAACGTGGGCTATTTGTAGCACTTTTCTGGGATGCTTGATTGTTTTCATTGCTTTACTGAGAAGCTTAGCAGAAGTAGACATGCTCATGTTATTTCTGTTAGTGGAGGGTGAGCTGCACAGTGGACTTCCTACTAGGTCACACCGCCTCAGTGCTAACAGTATAACTCTGGTTCATAGGCACATAATTACTTCATTCAATAGCTGTAGGATCAGCAGAGGCATTCAGGGCATTTAGAGGGACAGAAATTAATTAAGTCTTCCAATGCCCCTGGGATAATGTACATTTGCTGAAGCATTATGACAATTTAGCGACACAATGGTAGGGATTAACTGAGCTGGGCTTGAGTCATTGGATCCAGGATCCAGGAACCCAAATGATTTGGGTGGATCCCATCCTCCTTATAAAATTAGCTTTGTTTCCAGAAGGTATCAAAATTGTCACGAAATGTTACACCCACAGAGCTGCAATAGTCTCGTAGCCAGATATAGAGGGCTAAAAGTCTGCTGGAACGTTCGATGCCACGATGGGTATTATGGGAGGGTATTATGGGGTGTTTGTTGGTGTCAAGCAGAGACCCAATCAGTTCTTTAAAATCTATCTTCAGCTGTTCTGAGCTGCCCTTCATAATGTCATTGAATCCCACATGAACTATGATAGACTCAATTTCCTGATGCATGTTTTAAAATGTTTGGGAGCAGGTTATTGATGTCCGGTACTCGTGCTCCTGGATAGCACAACGTTTTTGCTCCAGGGGGTGAGACATTTCTCACCATTGAACTGCCCAATACAATGGCCGGAGAAGGGGATGGAGAAATCCGCCCATTCCTACCCCTCACACAATTCGTTGACCCTTTCACGGGCCCACGAGAAGCAGGATAGCATACGCCCGCTACTCCCGGCGATAGGTCCAGATCTCCCGCAGCAGCCAGTGCCCCAGTGCCCCCCTGGAGTCAGGGACACTCCAGTCCGCTTAGCAGCTGATTGGAGCAATCCTCTTGATGTTCTCCGTCTACTCCACTACAAGATGGAGGAGGAGAAGCAGATGGAGATGGCTTCCTTGGCAGGCAAGTTCCAGGTAGCACAGGCTTTTTGGATAGGGACAGATGACAAGGCGGGGATACATCCATCAGGCCCGAGCGGCGACCAGCCACAGGAGTTGAGAACGAGAGAGTTCCAATTTGTGTTATCCCCATAAGTGCGCGCAGAATTGAAATTTGCTAGCTAAGGATTGCCAGCTCATTCCTTTAATCCTCCGCAAGCAAACAATTGCCTCATTGGAATTCCGGATTGTCAATATTGTCCTGGACAAGCGCTTCTACAGCTCTGGAAACGTTTGTTAGCTATTCCAGGGGAAGTGGGCTCCATTGCAACCTTGCTAGCTAGCTGGCTAGTTGGTAGCAGGTGTTGACACAAACACTTATGAATAAAACTAAATACAACTTTTGAAAAAACTGGCCCGAAACAGTAGCTCGATGCGCAGGATTTATCTGAGTTCGTGAGTGGTCGGGGGTGGGGTGCAGGCTGTGAGCGTCCTGGGACACATAGCTGGAACAGGTTGGGTTGTGGGCCCTGAGAGACCGACCCGGTGGGACAGCTACCCACGTCATGGTATTGTCTCTGCACAGGAGGGATGCTTCCTGTGTTTGACCTTCTCCAGCTGATACGAGGACAGATTAATCAGTGTCTGTGTGTGAGAGAATAAATGTTCTGTCAGATAAAGATACAAATCTGTTAGATTGTTTATAGAAATGAATAAACATGGGTGAACAACAGTTTAATTCAGAGATATTGTTATTCAGATGTCTTTCTCCATTGTGTATGCTGACCATAGCGGTCTGTCTCGTTTTGTTTACAGGAACCATTTGAGGATGGCTTCGCCAACGGGGATGAGCTGACACCGGCCGAGGAGGCCGCAGCCAAGGAGGCGGCCGAGCCTAAGGGAGCGGTCAAGTTCGGATGGATCAAAGGGGTGCTGGTGAGTGGTCAACCGACAGACTCTGTTGGACCTTTTGGATCTCCTGAGAGCTTTGTCCTCCTGGTTACCTTTTGTAATGTGACACAATGTGACGTTTCCCCATCAACATCCCTCTATTTCGATTTCCATCTCCCCCTCCCTTTAAATGTCTACACTTTCTGCCTTTTCTCTGTGACCCCTGCCTCTACCATTGCTACTGCATCATAAGCACTTCTCTTTTTAGTTCTGACATTGTAGGGAATGCAGTGTCCTCAAGTTATTCTTGAACACAATGTTCAATGGCATAGATGTAAATCCTGACTGTACGTGCATTTCAAGTCAGGATTTTGACCATAGTATATTTTTCTGCCCGCTCATTCAAAGTACAGAGAAATTCATTCAGGACCCCACAATCAAGCAAGGCCTCTTCAGTATTAAGTTCCCAGGTGGTTACTACGAATTATTTGGATTTCAAATATCAATATGCACATATCATTCGATTTAAGATTCCCTTGGCTGTCTAAGCGTATTTTATCAGATCCTATAGCAGTCAAAGAGGAACCTCAATAATTGAGATGTATGTGTGTGAGTCGATCACACTCTACTCAAGATTCTGTGCTACTAGCAAGAATTGCTTTGGTGATTAATCCTTCGAGGTCTGTACAGGCCATAGAATGTTTCTGAGAGTCTAGTGTAAGAATCTGGCAGGGTTGTATGAATTTGTCACACATTACATAAAGTATCCAAAATGTTAAGTATTTTTAACTACATTCATGACAACTAGTAGAAACAGTTTATTTAAAGCCATTTCCACTTTGTTTGAAGTTCTGACAGATGATGTGCAGCACACTTAGTTCTTTCTCAGAAAATCTGTTTCTTGTTACCCAGCTTGTATTTTGACATGTAAAAGCCTTCCTTCCTCTCCTTCCTCATCATCTGTGCTCTCTCACTCATCTGACTGTTTTAATAGCAGCAGGGCTGTGACGGTCATGGAATTTTGGATGACTGTTATTGGCCAGCCAAATGACCGCAGTCACTGTAATAGCCGTTAGAATAGCATGTGCTGCCATAGAAATAAAAAGAATAGAACGGGTTTCCCCATTCAAGTCAATGATGGCATAATGGGTGGACTGGCGGCCATTGCGAGTGTACCCATAGAAGCAAAGCAGGAAGTAAAAGCAGGAAGTGTACCCATCAATTTGTGCTGCATTGTCTCATCAGATGGCGATGCTCATCCTGCAACCGATTTATCTTGTAGGACGCGGAACTCATATTCAAATTTGAATATTGAGCATCCACCATTATAAAATGAAAACATTAGTTCCTAAAAAGAAATGTATATCACTGCGCTCTCGTATGACTCTCCATGAAATAGGCAGAATAACTTGCTAGCTAAATTATTACAAACGTTGTGACAGGTACTAGTTTTTAATTGTGAGAAAATAAAAACTAACCAGATGACTATCTCCTGCACAAATTCTGTGCAAGGACGTTGGTCGCCAGTGCAGTGACTTGATCCGCTGTGTAGCCAACTGTTGTAGCTAGCTAGCTTACTGACATAGCTAGCTAGCTAGTCAGCTAGCTCTTCCTTCACTGACATAAAAAGCTTGCTTAGCCTGTTTAAATTACCCTGAAGTTGTAGACATGCAGCCCCACAATTAAGAGTAACTGACTTATCAGAAATCGGTCTGTAGATCAGCATGTTTCTCCGCGATAGTATTGTTGGGTCAGCTGAGCACAGCAGCTGACTCGGGAGGCTACTGCAATGACTTGTGGTAGAAGAACAGCTGCTTCATGAAACATCATAATGTAAGCATTATCACTACTAGCTGCAGTAGCTTGATAGCTAGCATTTGTTGGAAGATTAAGCATTGTGTGTGCAGCACTAAGTAGGTAGCTGGTTGTTTAGCAGCATCGTTTCAGTCAAAGAAGATTTCAGTGACTGGCTCCGTTGTTGCCAACAAATTATGCTAGCTTTCGTGCCCATAGTAAAACTTCAGAAGTACTGCTCATTGAAGCACAATATTCCTTAGCTAGATGTAAAATGGGGCGACTCAGACTTCCACACCAAAAAAAATAAACATTTATTGTTTCAGCTTAGATTATTTCAGGCAGTTCTGAAGCAGAAATGGGGTTCAGTAGATGATGTCACCTAGGTAATATTTTTCAATGTTGTGGCAGCCCATTGTAGCCGGACTATGTTTGATCCAAATCAAATCTCATTTTATTGGCCACATGCGCCGAATACAACAGGTGTAGACATTACAGTGAAATACTTACTTACAGCCCTTAACCAACAATGCATTTATTTTTTAAATAAAAAAGTAAAATAAAACAACAAAGTGTTGAGAAAAAAAGAGCAGAAGTAAAATAAAATAACAGTAGTGGGGTAACAGTGCAGAGTCAATGTGCGGGGGCACCGGCTAGTTGAGGTAGTTTAGGTAATATGTACATGTGGGTAGAGTTAAAGTGACTATGCATAAATAATTAACAGAGTAGCAGCAGCATAAAAAGATGGGGTGGGGGTGGGGGGGCAGTGCAAATAGTCCGGGTAGCCATGATTAGCTGTTCAGGAGTATTATGGGTTGGGGTAGAAGCTGTTGAGAAGTCTTTTGGACCTAGACTTGGCACTCCAGTACCGCTTGCCGTGCGGTATCAGAGAGAACAGTCTATGACTAGGGTAGCTGGAGTCTTTGACAATTTTGAGAACCTTCCTCTGACACCGCCTGGTATAGAGGTCCTGGATGGCAGGAAGCTTGGCCGTACGCACTACCCTCTGTAGTGCCTTGTGGTCGGAGGCCGAGCAGTTGCCATATCAGGCTGTGATGCAACCAGTCAGGATGCTCTCGATGGTGCAGCTGTAGAATTTTTTGAGGATCTGAGGACCCATGCCAAATCTTTTCAGTCTACTGAGGGGGAATAGGCTTTGTTGTGCCCTCTTCACAACTGTCTTGGTGTGTTTGGACCACGATAGTTTGTTGGTGATGTGGGCACCAAGGAACTTGAAGCTCTCAACCTGTTCCACTACAGCCCCGTCGATGAGAATGGGGGTGTGCTCAGTCCTTTTTTTTCCTGTAGTCCACAATCTTCTCCTTTGTCTTGGTCACGTTGAGGGAGAAGTTGTTATCCTGGCACCACACGGCCAGGTCTCTGACCACCTGCCTATAGGTTGTCTCATCGTTGTCGGTGATGAGGCCTACCATTGTTGTGTCATCGGCAAACTTAATGATGGTGTTGGAATCGTGCCTGGCCATGCAGTCATGGGTGAACAGGGAGTACAGGAGGGGACTGAGCACGCACCCCTGAGGGGCCCCCGTGTTGAGGATCAGTGTGGGAGATGTGTTGTTACCTACCTGGGGGCGGCCCGTCAGGAAGTCGAGGATCCAGTTGCAGAGGGAGGTGTTTAGTCCCAGGATCCTTAGCTTAGTGATGAGCTTTGAGGGCACTATGGTGTTGAATGCTGAGCTGTAGTCAATGAATAGCATTCTCACGTAGGTGTTTATCTTGTCTAGGTGGGAAAGGGCAGTGTGGAGTGCAATAGAGATTGCATCATCTGTGGATCTGTTGGGGCGATATTCAAATTGGAGTGGGTCTAAGGTTTCTGGGATAATGGTGTTGATGTGAGCCATGACCAGCCTTTCAAAGCACTTCATGGCTACAGACGTCAGTGCTACGGGTCGGTATTCACTTAGGCAGGTTATCTTAGTGTCCTTGGGCACGGGGACTATGGTGGTCTGCTTGAAATATGTTGGTATTACAGACTCAGTCAGGGACATGTTCAAAATGTCAGCACATGCTCGGAGTACTCGTCCTGGTAATCCGTCTGGCCCTGCGGCCTTGTGAATGTTGACATGCTTAAAAGTCTTACTCACATTAGCTACAGAGAGCGTGATCACATAGTCATCCGGAACAGCTGGTGCTCTCATGCATGCTTCAGTGTTGCTTGCCTCAAAGCGAGCATAGAAGTTGTTTAGCTCGTCTGGAAGTCTTGTGTCACTGGGCAGCTCTCGGCTGTACTTCCCTTTTGTAGTCTGTAATAGTTTTCAAGCCCTGCCACATCCGACGAGCGTCAGAGCCGGTGTAGTACGATTCATCTTAGTCCTGTACTGACTCTTTGCCTGTTAGATGGTTCGTCAGAGGGCATAGTGGGATTTCTTATAAGCGTCCAGGTTAGAGTCCCGCTCCTTGAAAGCGGCAGCTCTACCCTTTAGCTCAGTGCGGATGTTGCCTGTAATCCATGGCTTCTGGTTGGGGTATGTACGTACGGTCACTGTGGGGACGACGTCATCGATGCACTTATTGATGAAGCCAGTGACTGATGTGGTGTACTCCTCAATGCTATCTGAAGAATCCCGGAACATGTTCCAGTCTGTGCTAGCAAAACAGTCCTGTAGCTTAGCATCTGCGTCATCTGACCACTTTTTTGTTAAACGAGTCACTGGTGCTTCCTGCTTTAGTTTTTGCTTATAAGCAGGAATCAGGAGGATAGAGTTATGGTCAGATTTGCCAAATGGAGGGCGAGGGAGAGCTTTGTATGCGTCTCTGTGTGTGGAGTAAAGGTGGTCTAGAGTTTTTTTTTTCCCCCTCTGGTTGCACATTTAACATGCAGGTAGAAATTAGGTTTACAGATTTACATTTCCCTGCATTAAAGTCCCCGGCCACTAGGAGCGCTGCCTCTGGATGAGCGTTTTCCTGTTTACTTATGGCCTTATACAGCTCATTCAGTGCAATCTTAATGCCAGCATTGGTTTGTGGTGGTAAATAGACAGCTATGAAAAATATAGATGAAAACTCTCTTGGTAAATAGTGTGGTCTACAGCTTATCATGAGATACTCTACCTCAGGCGAGCAAAACCTTGAGACTTCCTTAGTATTTGATTTTGTGCACCAGCTGTTGTTTACAAATATACACAGACTGCCACCCCTTGTCTTACCGGAGTCTGCTGTTCTATCCTGCCTATGTAGCGTATAGCCCGCTAGCTGTATGTTATCCATGTCGTTGTTCAGCCATGACTCGGTGAAACATAATATATTACAGTTTTTAATGTCCCGTTGGTAGGATAACCGTAATCTTAGGTCATCTATCCCATTATCCTTTCCGAGGTACGAGACAGATCAGTGCAGGTGGAATCGACGCGCTATCTGATGTAAGACAATGTATGTGCTATGATTTGTTGATTCAACTCAACTGACAGGACAAAAAATACATTCCATTGCATGAGCCACATCAGTTAACATAATTTGAATGAACATTTTACATTGCCATGGAAATTATTGCGTCACAATACCAGGCAGCCACTGCGAGTGTACCCATGAGTTTACCAGTCAAATTGCCAGGGTTAGAAGTTCCAAGCACATTCTATTCATTATATTTCTATGTGTGCTGCTGCTACAGTGAAGAGGGGGTGTTGCCTAGGCAACCGAAGACTCATTTGCTACAACACCTTAATTGTTTCAGCAAGGAGCAACAAAGTTTCATCATGTTAGGAGTCCATGTTACTGCAGAAATGGACTCAACCATACGAATGCCCGGCTGTCCTGTCTTCAGTCAGCAGTTTGTTCCACAATTTAAAAAATAAATACAATTACGGTTATGACTGTTATTTTACTTTCATGACAATCTTCATCCATAACTGTCGGTTACACGGTAATTGTGCCAGCCCTACTTTTATTCTGTATTCCACATTCTGACTAGAGAAAAGATTCCTGGTGGGTATGATACTAATCAATGAGTTTATGATACTACTCAATGACAAGATATTTGCACTGAAATTGATAAAATGTGGTAGATACTGATTAATGTTCTTAGAGGTTGACAGTGATTTGATTTTAGATTAGGCTGGTTATTAAATGTTCAATTTTCCTTACATCAGCCTTGGCCAGGTTTTCAAATGTTATCTTTTAAAGACGAGGGCTAGTCGGGCAGCCAACATTTCTTTTCACGTCATAGCAAAATTTTATATTCTGTATTTCATTGTTGTCCAAAGAGTTTTCCAATTTATATTAGGACTTAAATCACTGTTTGAACCTTTCTTCTAACCTTAAGTTGCAATCTTGGTGCTCGTAGCAATTTTTAAGACAAGTCGGTGAAACTGCTACTTTCACTAGGTTTGGAATTGTGCCATTAACATTCATTCAGGCCAAATTGTGATTGAATCCTGCATCAGGTCTTGGACATCTAGTGGATTCCCACCAGCAATGTTCCAAGGCCAGGTTATTGGAAAGCACTTTGTTGGGTGAAGTGTTCCCATTACCAGACATGCATCCTAACTGCCACCCCTTCCTTTGTGCAGGTGCGCTGCATGTTGAACATTTGGGGCGTGATGCTCTTCATCCGCATGTCATGGATCGTGGGCCAGGCGGGAATTGGTAAGACTACACCATGGAGTAGATCTTGGAGTTCATGTGAATTACTGTTTTAATTCACACACAACGTCACCCCGAACCCCCAGCCAACCGACCAAACCACCCCTCTTTCTCCCATCACCTTTCGACCATTTTACCATCCAGATGCGAAATGCTGCCTCACGGCAACCCATGCAGGCAACTGTCACGCACTAGCTTGTTTTTGTAGCGGTGCCCGCTACGATTCACAGGCCATCTAACCCTAACCCATGTGTGAATACCAGGAGAGGTAGAGCGAGTGAGAGAGAAAGAGGCTCAACAAGCAAGTTAGCTGCTTATTGATGCTCATTATTGCAGTTATTTGCCTCCTAGGTGTTTGTAGAAAATGTTAATGCTGATTTTGTTTTGTCGCTAGTTAATCATGTCCTCCATTTTCTTTCAGTTCTCTCCTGTGTGATCGTTCTCATGGCAACAGTTGTGACCACCATCACCGGCCTTTCGACCTCAGCGATTGCGACCAACGGCTTTGTACGAGGAGGTATGAACCTTTGCATCTTTAAAGGTCCAATGCAGCCATTTTTATCTTAATATCAAATCGTTTCTGGGTAACAATTAAGTACCTTACTGTGATTGTTTTCAATTAAAATGGTCAAAAAGAAACATGGCTTTTAACAAAGAGCAATTTCCTAAGCAAGACTTTTGCTTGAAATGTCTGGGAGTGGTCTGAGTGGTGAGGGGAGAACTTTCCGTGAGTGTGGACGTTTACGTTTTTTTTCTTGCCCAGAGTGAGGCTTTTATTAGCAAACGTGAAGATAAGCCGGCGACTGTAAAAGTATTTACAAAAACAAACAGGACGATGAACAAAAAGGTAGGCCTAATAAACTCAAAAGAAAACCCAGGCTCCAATCATGCCTGTAAACCCTGCAGCATGCCAACCTGTTACCTGTCTATTCAGTTCATAAACATATGTATTCATACCAGCACACATATTAATAAATGTGCTTCTCATGAATCATTAACCGTTTACAATGTCTGGTTATTTATAATAAGGCTTTAGATTAGGTGACGGAGGACATAAGGATGATCATCAGTGTTTTTGTAAAATGTTCAGTGGAAAATGTTTGACACATTTTAAAGTGAAAAATCTGAGTCTTGGCATCAACCTGTTATCGTGGAATTGCCCTTTACCGTTTTTACCAGCGCTGTCTGATCTTGGCACTTCCAAACACTAGACTAGACTATTGGTGCATAGAAATGAGCCTCTCACATCAATAGATTTTAATACTGTAGAAAAAAATTAATCATTCAAGAGATGGCTCTCCCAACAGTCTGCTTAGTGCTCAGTTTTGCATTCATAATTCCACATTCATATATTTATCATGATACATGACTGATGAAAGTTGTGCAAGGTCGCTTCATGCTGATTTTTTATTTACAGTGTGGTTTTGTTCTTACCTTTTCTTGGCATGTTTGGATGAATGGGGCTGAGGGCTCCCACGCTAGTCTTATTTAGGCTAACCTTTTAACTTTTCTCTGGAATCCATTTAAACGTGCATCCCGCAGAGCAGTGGCCGGCTCACGTGACATTTGCTTAGTCTCCTGTGTTTGGATATGGAATTAGGTTTCTTGTACAGGTGTGATTTTTAGCAGCTGGACTTGGCTATCATTATTACCATCATGCACGGAACTGAAGATGTATTATCGGTTGAGGGCCTCAATGAGATGTTCCCTGATTAATTTGGAGTCGAATGAAGGAGGGGGAAAACACTGTCCACACATTGGTCCCAGTTGTCGCAGCATGAGGGGAAATTCAATATTGTGTTTCTAAATTCGCAGCAGTTCTCCCTCAAGTCACTGAAAGAGACCAGTGCTGGCAGGGAGGTCTGAAATGGATGTTAGGACACTCTCCACATGGGCGAGGGCAAGGGAAAACAAAATATTTAGTTTAAAATGTCCTGGTGATGAAATCATATTGTAGTAAAGGATATTTGTGTTTTCTGCAGGGTACTCCTCCTGGAGACTGCATATTCGATTCATTCTCGTAAGGTTTCACACTACCACAGCCAGATTGTTTTCGACTACAGGCGGCAAGAGAGGCTCCATATAGTGGCTATTGTTTTGTCTAGAACAGCACAGTAACCAAAGCATGCACACTATCTAGTTTCAACATCCGCTCCTCCATGAATTGATTTTCTTTCGAAGTGGGCTAATCCATTACCCTTCGGTAGAATGCTAAAACTTTTCACAAAGGCTAAAACCTTTTTTTGCCCCTTGGTAATATTACATTTACATTTAAGTCATTTAGCAGACGCTCTTATCCAGAGCGACTTACAAATTGGTGCATTCAACTTAGGATAGCCAGTGGGACAACCACATCTTGATCACAGTAAGTACATTTCTTTAAACAAGTCAGTGCTAGCAGGTGAAATAAGTCAGGTGTTAGTTTAGACAAAAGACAGTGGTTGTAGAGGGGGGGGGGGGGGGGGTAGAAGGATTACTATTATACTATTCCAGGTATTCCTTAAAGAGGTAGGGTTTCAAGTGTCTCCGGAAGGTGGTCAGTAACTCCGCTGTCGTGGGGGAGCTTGTTCCACCATTGGGGTGCCAGAGCAGCGAATAGCTTTGACTGGGTTGAGCGGGAACTGTGCTTCCGTAGAGGTTGGGGGGCTAGCAGGCCCTCGTTTGGGTGTAGGGTCTGATCAGAGCCTGAAGGTAAGGAGGTGCCATTCCCCTCACAGCTCCGTAGGCAAGCACCATGGTTTTGTAGTAGATGCGAGCTTCAACTGGAAGCCAGTGGAGTGTGCGGAGGAGCGGGGTGACGTGAGAGAACTTGGGAAGGTTGAACACCAGACGGGCTGCAGTGTTCTGGATAAGGTGCAGGGGTTTAATGGCACAGGCAGGGAGCCCAGCCAACAGCGAGTTGCAGTAATCCAGGCGGGAGATGACAAGTGCCTGGATTAGGACCTGTGCCGCTTTCTGTGTAAGGTAGGGTTGTACTCTATGAATGTTGTAGAGCATGAACCTGCAGGATCGGGTCACCGCTTTGATGTTAGCAGAGAACGACAGGGTGTTGTCCAGGGTCACGCCAAGGTTCTTTGCACTCTGGGAGGAGGACACAAAGGAGTTGTCAACCGTGATGGCGAGATCATGGAGCGGGCAGTCCTTCCCCGGGAGGAAGAGCAGCTCCGTTTTGCCGAGGTTCAGCTTGAGGTGGTGATCCGACATCCACACTGATATGTCTGCCAGACATGCAGAGATGCGATTTGCCACCTGGATATCAGAAGGGGGAATGGAGAAAATGTAATATCTGTAACATGTTCAAACAAACATTTGCCTAAGTGAAAGTTCCTCCTGCTGCTACTGCACCTGCTCTAGCAAAGTAAAGTTGGTGCACTATGATGCAGTAAAATTAGTTATTTGTCGTCTGTCAAGAGTAGATTGAAATCACATGCCATTCGTAGGGATTAATGTAATACTCCCAATTACAGCACCGTGTAGGATTTTAATCCCATCCAAACTAATATTTCCACATATTCCAGTTATTCCCACATCTCCCTCCAAATGGTCTCTCAATATCAAAATGTCCCTTTTACAGAGGGCAAATCAAAATGTGCTCTCTAAAAGTTTGACTTTCAAGGGATATTCCTGAACGGTTGTTTAATTTGACGTACTGATGTTGACGCTTGAGTGGACTTGTGTAGGTGGAACGAATAGAGCCAGCAAAATATCCCCCATGTGCTCAAGCATGACCCCACATTCATTTCTCCACCCACGCATGCCCTCACAGATGTAGTCCCCTGTAGCTCAGTTGGTAGAGCATGGCGCTTGCAATGCCAGGGTTGTGGGTTCGTTTCCCACAGGGGGGCCAGTATGAAAATGTATGCACTCACTAACTGTACATGTACTCTGGATAAGAGCGTCTGCTAAATTACTAAAAATGTAAATGAGTCGTTTTGGTTCCTGCCTTTGTCTTGTCCCCCACTCGTGTCTGTATGATCACTTGAGGTGCTCTCCAAAGCTATCAGCAGAGAGGTCATATAAAGAGAGATCAACGAGGAACACTACTCGGACTGTCGCACTACGAACTCATTGTGCAGTTAAATGTGTCAATTAATTTGGCTCCCATCTTGGAGCCCCTCCATCCTTTCCACTCATTTGAGCAGACATGTTGTTTTAAGGGTGTCGTTGAGGTGAGTGGACTAGGCTGTACTGCAGTTAGTATTACTGATGTATGTAAATTAAATAGGCTAGCCTACATATAACAGTTATTTGATTAAACGATTTGTGTTTCACCTTTCATTTAAAAATGCTTTGTCCATCTGTCTGTCTTTGCAGGAGGGGCATATTATTTGATATCCAGAAGTTTGGGGCCAGAGTTTGGCGGCTCCATTGGTCTGATCTTTGCCTTTGCCAACGCTGTGGCCGTCGCCATGTACGTGGTGGGCTTCGCCGAGACGGTTGTGGAGCTCCTCGGAGTAAGTCACCCAATCCATCCCCACGTCACCATCCAAGATCAACACTTTCTTTCACAGTTTTATTGGTTACTTTGTTCACTTTGATGAAATCTTTGGTTTTCCCTCAAAAGTTTATCATGAAGATTCAATAATGCTTCTTTTTAACACCATTGTTTCAACATCTCTAATAAGCGTAATCTCATTTCGGTAAGGGATGCTTTGGGTCTCCTGATGTTCAGTGTTTATTCTTGGGTTGTTTGCAAGGAGGACTAAAAACCCACTGTTTTTAGGGGCGGCTCATGCAAAGGTAATAATGATGACTCATCCTAATCCTTCCTCCACACACGACCTATTGGTTATTCCTTGGTCACAGATGAGGGCAGTAGTTTTGCACTTTGCTGATTGAAGCGTGCCATTAGTGTCAAGTGTAAGCAGCATTAAATTGATTTGAGGATAATTAATTGTTGTTTTCTCTGTTCATCAGACTTTCATGCCCCTGAATTTGTTTTGCGTTTCAGTAGTGTTCTTTTTTAAATTCCACGTTTGGTAATAAAATTAGGTCAGATGTCTTTCTGCCTTTTTAGATGGGGTTGGTTAATTGTTTATGTTGCATTTTAATTAAAAGTCTATCAAAATATTTGCAGTGCTTTTTCAACTAGCCAGTATCATAGGAACATGGGATGAATTTGAGAGGATTTCTCCTACCTCTTGCTCTGACAGTGAAGTTGATATTCTCCTGTGATTTCTCACAGAGCGTGGATTGTATCATGACGGATGAGATCAATGACATCCGAATCATCGGCACCATCACAGTCATCCTTCTCCTGGGTATCTCCGTGGCAGGGATGGAATGGGAAGCTAAGGTAAGATAACATACAACTAGGTTTGGTTGAATAGAGCCCTCAGTCATAGTTTCTATCTAGAACTTAAGGTGATATTGAACTGCAACTCATCTCTGACGTCAAGCTGAAATTGACCTAAAATAAGCAGAATTCCTTCCAGACTGACTGAATGCAGACATTGATGTGCAGTAGGCTAGATGTAATGCATGCTCTGTTTTGTGGTTAATGCTAGTTGGGAGGTGTGGTGAAAGTGTAGCTAACATGTCCAAATGTTCATTCTGTCCACAGGCTCAGATATTCCTGCTGGTCGTTCTGATCACGGCCATCTTCAACTACTTCATCGGCTCCTTCATCCCCCTCAAGTCCAAGGAGTCGCAGGGCTTCTTTGGCTATGACAGTACGACCCTCTTTGGTTCTCCCTTTACACAACACGAACTGACATGACTGTCAAGCTAAAGTAAAGACTGTCCAAGACGTGTCAAGGGAAATTAGATTGTCACACTACCGGCGGTTTCGTTGTGGAGCTATGATTCTGAATTTATGTATTCTTCTCTGAACTCATGATCTACATGACTACTGTACGCGGCATGAAGCACTGGCTACTCCTTAAAGTTGTACTAGAGATTTTTGCTGAAATCACAAGACCAAACCAGTTGGATTATTTGAAATTCACTTTGCGACCTGATTCCCAACTCTAAGATCAACTGATCGAGTCTGATTGTCCTAAGATGCACACTGCATGCTGTGTAACTCTTGCTCTCTCATGCGTTCTCTCTTGTTCTGCTCACCCCACCTTTCTCTCTATTGCTCTCTCCCCCCTGCTCTCTTGCTCTAAGGTGCAATTATGATGGAGAACATGGGTCCGGACTTCCGAGGCACAGAGTCGTTTTTCTCCGTCTTTGCCATCTTCTTCCCTGCAGCCACTGGCATTCTGGCCGGCGCCAACATCTCAGGAGATCTTTCTGTAAGAACCCCTGGTCATTGTTTAAAAAAAATCACAAACAAGCAGATTACTTATCCCAATCCATATAAAATGGATGAAATCAATGGAACTCATATTGTCTTGATTAAAGGCTTAATGTGTGGGACTTTATATGAAATCAGTGTGGGGGACTAGGCATTTCTTTAAATTCACAGGACCCACAACTGTCCATTCCAAGAGGAACACTCTTAGCCATTCTGATCACTGGCATTGTCTACCTGGGGGTTGCCATTTCTACTGGTATGTGGAATTTCTTCTAATTTGCCCCCAACAAGACCGAATAAATTATACAGATTACAGATAGAGAGTTTGTGAGAATTTGTATTTGTCTCTTGTTTCTCATTAAAGGCTCTTGCATCGTGAGAGACGCCACAGGAAACGACAATGACACACTCAGCGCTCAGTTCATGGCCAACTGCACTGACGCCGCCTGCAAGTTTAGCTATGACTTCTCCTCCTGCAAGGGTGTCGATGGCCAGTACAACTGCAGATATGGACTCCAGAACGACTTCCAGGTACACTACATGACTACACTACAAAGCATGTGGACACCTGCTCGTCGAACATCCAATTAAAAAATCATGGCCATTAATATGGAGTTGGTCCCCCCTTTGCTGCTATAACAGCCTCCACTCTTCTGGGAAGGCTTTCCACTAGATGTTGGAACATTGCTGTGGGGACTTGCTTCCATTCAGCCACAAGAGCATTAGTGAGGTCGGGCACTGATGTTGGGCGATTCGGCCTGGCTCGCAGTCTGCGTTCCAATTCATCCCAAAGGTGTTCGATGGAGTTGAGGTCAGGGCTCTGTGCAGGCCAGTCAAATTCTAACACATCGATCTCGACAAACAATTTCTGTATGAACTTTACTTTCTGCACAGGGGCATTGTCTTGCTGAAACAGGAAAGGGCCTTCCTGTTTCAGGAATATTTCCCTTCGCTGGAACTAAGGGTCCTAGCCTGAACCATGAAAAACAGCCCCAGAACATTATTCCTCCTCCACCAAACTTTACAGGTGGCACTATCCATTGGGGCAGGTAGCTTTCTCCTGGCATCCGCCAAACCCAGATTTGTCTGTCAGACTGCCAGATGGGTGCACCCCCCTATCCACATCGACAGGACCGCAGTGGAGAAGGTGGAAATCTTCAAGTTCCTTGGCATACACATCACTGAGAAACTGAAATGGTCCACCCACACAGACAGTGTGGTGAAGAAGGCGCAACAGAGCCATTTTGTGGCAATATCTATTTTTACATTTACATTTACTTCATTTAGCAGACGCTATTATCCAGAGCGACTTACAAATCGGTGCAATCGACTTACGATAGCAAGTGGGACAAGCACTTTTTTTTTTTTTTTTATGGGGGCGGGGGAGGAGGGGGGGGGGGGGGGGGGGGTAGTAGAAGTATTGCTTTATACTATTCCAGGTATTCCTTAAAGAGGTAGGGTTTCAAGTGTCTCCGGAAGGTAGTCAGTGACTCCGCTGTCGTGGGGGAGCTTGTTCCACCATTGGGGTGCCAGAGCAGCAAATAGCTTTGACTGGGCTGAGCGGGAACTGTGCTTCTGTAGAGGTAGGGGAGCTAGCAGGCCAGAGGTGGATGAACGTAGTGCCCTCGTTTGGGTGTAGGGTCTGATCAGAGCCTGAAGGTAAGGAGGTGCCGTTCCCCTCACAGCTCCGTAGGCAAGCACCATGGTATTGTAGTAGATGCGAGCCTCAACTGGAAGCCAATGGAGTGTGCGGAGGAGCGGGGTGACATGAGAGAACTTGGGAAAGTCGAACACCAGACGGGCTGCTACGTTCTGGATAAGTTTTAGGGGTTTAATGGCACAGGCAGGGAGCCCAGCCAACAGTGAGTTGCAGTAATCCAGAAGGGAGATGACAAGTGCCTGGATTAGGACCTCTGCCGCTTTCTGTGTAACGTAGGGTCGTACTCTGCAAATGTTGTAGAACATGTACCTGCAGGATCGGGTCACCACTTTGATGTTAGCAGAGAACGACAGGGTGTTGTCCAGGGTCACGTCAAGGCTCTTTGCACTCTGGGAGGAGGACACAATGGAGTTGTCAACCGTGATGGCGAGATCATGGAGCGGGCAGTCCTTCCCAAGGAGGAAGAGCAGCTCCGTCTTGCTGAGGTACAGTTTGAGGTGGTGATCCGACATCCACACTGATATTTCTGCCAGACATGCAGAGATGCAATTCGCCACCTGGTTATCAGAAGGGGGAAAGGAGAAAATTAATTGTGTCGTCTGCGTAGCAATGATAGGAGAGACCATGTGAGGATATGACAGAGCCAAGTGACTTGGTGTATAGAGAGAATAGGAGAGGGCCTAGAACTGAGCCCTGGGGGACACCAGTGGTGAGAGCACGTGGTGCGGAGACAGATTCTCGCCACGCCACCTGGTAGGAGCGACCTGTCAGGTAGGACACAATCCAAGAGTGAGCAGCGCCGGAGATGCCCAACTCGGAAAGGGTGGAGAGGAGGATCTGATAGTTCACAGTATCAAAGGCAGCGGATAGGTCTAGAAGGATAAGAACAGAGGAGAGAGAGTTAGCTTTAGCAGTGCGGAGAGCCTCCGTGACAGAGAAGAGCAGTCTCAGTTGAATGACCAGTTTTAACCTGACTGGTTTGGATCAAGAAGGTCATTCTGAGAGAGATAGCAGGAGAGTTGGCTAGAGACGGCACACTCGAGTTTTGGAGAGAAAAGAAAGAAGGGATACTGGTCTGTAGTTGTTGACATCGGAGGGATTGAGTGTAGGTTTTTTGAGGAGGGGTGCAACTCTCGCTCTCTTGAAGACGGAAGGGACATGGCCAGCGGTCAAGGATGAGTTGATGAGCGAGGTGAGGTAAGGGAGAAGGTCTCCGGAAATGGTCTGGAGAAGAGAGGAGGGGATAGGGTCAAGCGGGCAGGTTGTTGGGTGGCCGGCCGTCACAAGTCGCAAGATTTCATCTGGAGAAAGAGGGGAGAAAGAAGTCAAAGCATAGGGTAGGGCAGTGTGAGCAGGACCACCGGTGTCATTTGACTTAATAAATGAGGAAGTCATCCACAGAGAGGGGGGGGGGAGGAGGAGGAGGATTCAGCAGAGCAGGAGGGGAGGACCGAGCCGGCCGGGAGGATAGGGGACATAGAGAGTCAAAAGATGCATAAAGGGAGGAGAGGAGGGTTGAGGAGGCAGAATCAGGAGATCGGAGGGAGAAGGATTGAGCAGAGGGAAGAGATGATAGGATGGAAGAGGAGAGAGTAGCGGGAGAGAGAGAGCGAAGGTTGCGATGGCACATTACCATCTGAGTAGGGGCAGAGTGCGTAGTGTTGGAGGAGAGCGAGAGAGAAAAGGATACAAAGTAGTGGTCGGAGACTTGGAGGGGAGTTGCAGTGAGATTAGTAGAAGAACAGCATCTAGTAAAGATGAGTTCAAGCGTATTGCCTGCTTTGTGAGTAGGGGGGGACGGTGAGAGGGTGAGGTCAAAAGAGGAAAGGAGTGGAAATAAGGAGGCAGAGAGAAATTAGTCAAAGGCAGACGTAGGGAGGTTAAAGTCACCCAGAACTGTGAGGGGTGAGCCATCCTCAGGAAAGGAACTTATCAAGGCGTCAAGCTCATTGATGAACTCTCCAAGGGAACCTGGAGGGCGATAAATGACAAGGATGTTAAGCTTGAATGGGCTAGTGACTGTGACCGCATGTAATTCAAATGAGGAGATAGACAGATGGGTCATGGGAAAAAGAGAGAATGTCCACTTTGGAGAGATGAGGATTCCTGTGCCACCGCTGCGCTGACCAGATGCTCTCGGGGTATGCGAGAACTCATGGTTAGACGAGGAAAGAGCAGTAGGAGTAGCAGAGTTTTCTGTGGTAATCCATGTTTCCGTCAGCGCCAAGAAGTCGAGGGACTGGAGGGTAGCATAGGCTGAGATGAACTCTGCCTTGTTGGCCGCAGAACGGCAGTTCCAGAGGCTGCCAGAGACCTGGAACTCCACGTGGGTCGTGTGCGCAGGGACCACCAGATTAGAGTGGCAACAGCCACGTGGTGTGACGCGTTTGTATGGCCTGTGCAGAGAGGAGAGAACAGGGATAGACAGACCATAGTTGACAGGCTACAGAGAAAGGCTACAATAATGCAAAAGAGATCGGAATGAAATGTACTAAATATCTGGGAAAGCGAGAGAGCAGGGCCTCCCTCACTTACGTTTCACTGAAACACTCAAATATAACTCTCCCAACTTCCACTTTAGAAATTATAAGTGTTGTAAACTATAGCGGTTCAATGTTTCTAAGAATAGACTCTAACTTAGTTTATTCAGCTAGCTAACTTGGTACACCGAATCATATGACGCCAAAGCCAACTAGCATGCCAGCCTCCAATAACACGGTTTAGCACCAATACTCGGTTACAACAAACCACCAGTGTGTTAACACGCCAAGCAGATCATTCGTGTCCGTGTCTAACGTTGTGTAAGGTTTTGGGGTAGTTTTGACAGTTTGAGTGAGTACGTCGTGAACTTATTCAGCCAGTTAGTTAGCTAGAATAGTTAGCATACTAGCTAGCCATTGCTCTCTGCCAACATAACTAACCCCTCCTCCCACGGCACGAACACACAGAGAGCCAAGCTAACGTTAGCTAGTCACCCATGTCCCGAATTCCCTTGAACGACTCTGGTTACCAGTATGTAAAAACAAAACAAAAATAAATGTAGGTTATAGCTTACCCTTAGTAGCTACTGTTAGCCAGTTAAGTGCAAAGGTAGCCACTGAATCGATTCAGCCAGTTCGCGTCTGTCCCAACGGAGAGAAACGTCTCCAAATATTAACGCTAGGTCGTTCCAGCTATTGTTTAGTTAGCTATCCAGGTATCCTCTGTAGCTCAGCTGGTAGAGCACGGCGCTTGTAACGCCAGGGTAGTGGGTTCGATCCCCGGGACCACCCATACACAAGAATGTATGCACGCATGACTCTAAGTCGGTTTGGATAAAAGCGTCTGCTAAGTGGCATATTATTATTATTACATTTCGAGTACAGTAGCTACTAACTACCTAACGTTAACGCTTCAGAAAATGAGGTAAGAAAAACAGCTGAATGGTAGGTAGCTAGTTGGCATAATTACAGGTACTCTTAAGCGTGGAATAACATTGGAAACAACTATCCACAGTTGCTAATAGTTACCAGTAGCTACCCGCTAGCTAGCTAGCTTTATTGGTCCAGGTAGTGAGTTAGCTAGCTACGTGCTTCACCGGGCTCAGTCGAATACAATACTTACCTACAATAATTACCTACAATAACCTACAATAACTACCTAGATAAACAACCTACAATACCTAACTACAATACCTACCTACCTACAATCTAAATACATGGTTTAGTCTTTACTCGACACCATATGAGCCAAGCTTACGTCCCACCAGAGATAGACACAAGCTCACCCGTCGCTGTCCAAGTCCAACTCTATCACAGTTGAGTGGTGATGGGAACTTGTAGAAACGTATATACTTAGTCCTCTTCGTCCCGGGTGGGACAGAAGTTGTCGAAGAAAGGTATGGCCTTATGGGCTCAGCTGTTTAACCGGTATCATGCCTTTTCGTTAGGTCATGAGCATTGTGTCCGGGTTTGGCCCCATCATCACTGCCGGAATCTTCTCCGCCACTCTGTCCTCTGCCCTGGCCTCTCTGGTCAGCGCCCCCAAAGTGTTCCAGGTAAGCCCCTAGACTCCCTCCCCAGATCCCGCTTCCTTAATCTGTCCTTGTTAGTCACTTTATCATTTTTACATATTATCCTTACTGTTTGGAATAGCCTGCAGAGTTTATGCATGTCCAGTTACAGTTACTGTCCCATAGACACAAATCAAAGGCAAGATTGTGATCTCGTAATGTATCCCAATGTTCCTCTGGTCGTCGTCTAGTGTCCCATCCGCTGATTAGTATAGCGGTGTCCAATTCCAATGGTTTTTCCTTCTCCTCCAGGCTCTTTGCAAAGACAATATCTACCCTGGCCTTGAGATGTTCGCCAAGGGCTATGGCAAGAACAACGAGCCCCTTCGCGGCTACATCCTCACCTTCTGCATCGCTCTGGCCTTCATCCTAATTGGTACTTACGCTGTCCAGGTTTAGACATCTAACAATTAAACTATTATTCACAATATGACATTCTGTAGTATGTCAGTAATATGTCATTCAGTCGTATAATTTAGTCCTAAAGTGCATTATTGAATGTCTATAGTCCCCTGTAGCTCAGTTGGTAGAGCATGGCGCTTGCAACGCCAGGGTTGTGGGTTCGTTTCCCACGGGGGGTCAGTATGAAAATGTATGCACTTACTAACTGTAAGTCGCTCTGGATAAGAGCGTCTGCTAAATGACTAAAATGTAAATGTATGGACAGTTCCCTATGAACAGCTAAACTGCCATGTTTTTGTGTCTTTATTTTAGCCCAGTTGAATGTTATTGCTCCCATCATCTCCAACTTCTTCCTGGCCTCCTATGCTCTCATCAACTTCTCTGTATTCCACGCCTCTCTGGCCAACTCTCCAGGTAAGGCCTTTTTGGACAACAACAACACTTTCCTGAGGAAAAGTTATATCTGCAGAAAGTCCGGAATTTCAATGCGACCAAAAAACAGAGCCACAAAGGTCCTGACTATGGCCAGAATGAAGTCATGAGTCTTAGGAGTTAAATCATTAGGCTTAAAGGCGAGATTTAATAGGAAATTATAGGACTTCCAAACAAATTATTTATAGGTGGGGGCTCTGTCATTCTTAGTGAATAACACTTATTTAATATGGCTCCACTGTTATGCGTTGCATCAAGTCTCATATGTCTTTGCCATTCCCAAATAGCTTAAGCCTTGAGATAACAGATGTAATGACATGCCTGAGTAATGGGAACATTTTCATAACTGGACAATTGTTTTATTAAAGAATGGCAACTGCGATCTTTATCTGATAAGGCCCACAGTCTGCTTCTTAAGGAAGTAGATTGGAAGAAATGGGATTGTCTCAATGACACTCAGTATTATGCAAATAATTGATACTGACAATACTGCTGGGAAGCAACGTGTGCTGCTGCTTATTATTCAATGCAACACATTCCATATATTGGATTTGACGGTTTTTCTGACTGATGTGATTTGTGTAAAGGTCAAACCTCCAGGGGCTGTGGTTTAGCAGTGAGGCTAGCTTGGCATGATGGCACAGTGTCATTAATTAATGAATCACTTGGTTAATCCAAGATGGAAGACGTCCACTCAGTTTCAACTGTCAGTCTATTGGTGTCAAGAAATCAAGGTCTTTGCTTAGATTGACTAATTTTTTATGCCTAGTGGTCATCAGTTGTGCCTTAGTCGTGATGGAAAAAACAAACGGGTGTACGAATTTGAAACAACCATTTAATTGTGAAATAAATGTGATCTTTTCAACCTGTTGTATCATCCAGCAGTTGACGTATAAAGTGGTGTTTGTTTTTCTGTTAATTCCACACAAAAAAAAGTCCTAGGAGAACGCCAGGTACAGATTTTATATCTAATTCTGACATTGTCAGCGCAGACCATTTCATTACACAGATTTAAAGGGTACATGACTCACCAAGAGGCAAGGCAATAGACACTTGGCTTCTCGCCTCTGGAAACTCAAACCGGCAATGTCTAACTCCTTCTTTTCTGGCCACCTAGAGCCCATTTTCGCTCTCCCATGAGTGTATGTAAAAACGGTCATGGGGCAAAGAATGACGTCACTCCAATGTACCCTTTACATCCTGTGGTTTTTGTAGTTCTTGTCATTGTGTAACTGTGCGCACAGTTAAACTGTACCCCATTGTTCCAGTTTACTAAACTCCCACTAGTCTAGTCTCTTTAGTACCTAATTAACCGGTATCCAGTAGTGGATGTAACATTATTGTACAATGTTCTAACTGGTTGCTAACTCCAATTTTTTTAAACACCATTTTTAATCCAAGTGCATATCCATGCTCTTTTCTTAAATTAGTGACATTGAGCCGCCTCCCATTTTTTATGATTCAGTAATTTAATTTATAACAATGATGTTTGTTGGAATATGTGAAGAAGTAATGCAAGTTATAAATGAACAAGAGCTGTCAGCTATGGTAAGCAGCTCTCCATAGCGACTTGCTGGATCTTCATAGACATGAGTGGCAGATTTGATCTAACCTTTTGGATTCTACCTCTGTTCATGTTCACATGTTATTCCTTAAATTTGGTTATAAACCCATTCAAACCTCTCTACAGTATTTTACAATAAGGACAAAGGTCATATGCTGGCACCCTTTGGTATGGCTGGCCCCCAAAGTGAATTTTTATGAGGGTACTTATAAGGGAGTCCACCTAACGTTTCTCTGACCCTTAGGGTGGCGCCCCAGCTTCAAGTTCTACAACATGTGGGTGTCCCTGGCTGGAGCTGTGCTGTGCTGCGTGGTCATGTTCGTCATCAATTGGTGGGCAGCCCTAATGACCAACGTTATTGTCATGGGCCTCTACATCTACGTGAGCTACAAGAAGCCCGGTGAGTAACTCAGCACCAGGCCAAGTCGGCCATCTTGGATTGCCTCAACATCGACTAGTGTTATTTTGCCAAGATAGGTGATCATTGTGAAACTTGGCTAACGTGGATTATGATTATCTTACTTTACAAATAGTATTACCATATTCTTTCATGAATTAGCCTACCCTTTTAATTTGAAAAAACATAGCAATTTCCCCAAAAGAGCATGTGTTGAATGTCAATCGCTGTGAATTACACCTCACCACTTAGTGTAAATCATTTCCTAGTTATTTTGATTCCACTGAAATATCAACCTTTATGACTAAACCACATTAGCACAATGCACTGAAAGTCCCCTGACGCCCAAGGATGCTTTGAACACAAAATGTGAATCAGGCCCCACTATTGATATTTCAAGCTTTTTTATTGCTGATGCACACATGTATTTTGGTGTAGTGGTAAGCATTTGCATCACAATTATGTTTTTGTTGCGCACCCTCTGCTGCAGTGCAGCCCAACACGGTTGAAATGTATTTATAGCTAAATGCAGGGTTGTGGAAACTAATGTTAATATGACTACAGCTGAAATGAACCATCTATTCACAATGTGATGCTGTATTAAGGGCGTTACATTTGAATCAAGGAAAGCAGAATGTGGGTTGTCAAAAACAATAGCTCTCTATTTGCAGGGTAGGTAGAACATATGATTTCACAAAAATATTCTGTCAACTTCGCGATTCAGTCTGTTGATTAGCATACGGATTTATACATTATAATTTTTACCTAGTACATTAATAGACTTTCCCTCCAATGTTTCTATGGTGATTTGCCAAAGGGCTGGCTCATTCTCCTGTTAACTTTTCTTAAGCTGCCCACCCACGCAAGGCAGCGTTGACATTAAATGGGGGGCTTTGAAATGTCTAGTGCTGGGAGGGGGCAGCGGGTGAGGGTGTGGATACATGCGGTTACATGTGTTCGACTGTATTAGTGCTCAGGCTCTCTGGCCTGGCTGGGCTGATTTCTATTCTGGAGCAAGCTGGGGACTGGACTGTTGAGATTCCCATAGGGGTCAGATGGCCAATTGGGTCCCACATGGTAGGAAGTTCCCATATGGGACCGCTGGCTCTGGGTAAACACACCTGACCCGCGCTGGAAACCCCAGGGGAGCACCAGGCATGAATATAGACATCCACGAGGCACACTTGTATGAACACACACATACACAAATAGCTTCACACACTCAGTTTGACACGCAGCTCTATACACACATTCTCACACATGCAGAGTCACAGCTTCACACACAGCTCTACACACACATGCACAGCATCCCTACGGACTCCCACACTGCATGGAACTTGCTCCAATGGCCTGACTGGCTAATGGCCACCCATACAGGGTCCTGACTCCAGAATGTGACTATGTTTGTCCTGTCTTCCAGATGTGAACTGGGGCTCCTCGACCCAGGCTCTGACATACCACCAGGCCCTGACCCACAGTCTGCACCTCAGCAGTGTTGAGGACCACATCAAGAACTTCAGGTACAGTATAGAACACACACACACACACTCACTTCTTAGACCAAAGGAAAGGTCTGGTCTTTGAAATGCATTCGCCCGTAGAAAGGCTTTATTCTTGACACTCAATAAACCACCTTAGTTTCATCCACCAGCGTCGTCCAGCTGTTAAAGTTTCATTATCCTACTTTTAAATTATTGACTGGGTAAAATGTTCTGTATTCAGGAAATGTCCGTCATTCACATTGTCATAAAGGCTGTTGCCTTGTTAGTTCTAAAAGTATCTGATAGGCAAATTTGATTAACAACTCCTCCACTTAATTACCCTTCGATGTTGCTCGGCAAGTTGTCGCTAACACATGCTCACTGAGGCGTGCAGATCCGGTAAGGCTGCAGCAGGCTCCGACTGCATCTGAGTGGCAGGGGAGGATATTGCTGTTTGTCCAGTCAGGCTACAGCAGAGCCCTCTCTCCGTCTTGGCATGACACATCCCCTTGGAGAGGGTTGTGTAGCTGCACACCTGGGACAACAGTGGCAGACACTTGGCATCCTTCACACTGCCTCGCCTCAGAGGACAAAGGTGTGAGACTAAATTGTCTATTCTCGGAAACCTAGCATCGGTCATCATATAGCAACGGTGGCGAGCATGGGAGTTAGGGTATAGAACCGTGTTTTCTCAAAGACGTGGACACAGCCACAACCACACAAACAAGGGGTCAGACAGACAGACAGACGCACACACATGCATGGCATGGCACGGAGGCTGGCAACTACCCAAGAGCCCGCTAGCTCTCTCGGGGAAGGCAGGGGCCACAACAATATAAAGCAAGGCTTTCCATTGAACATTTCTGGGGGAGTATATAAATCTGGACTGGAAAGATGGCGGGCTGAATAGTCCATACGTGGGCTCTCGTTCTCTGGTGCGTTGGCGGTCAAGTGGAGTGCCCTCCTCCACTGTTTCATGCATGGACCGTAGCGGGGGATGCATCTAACAGTCGAAGCACTGCCTTACAAAAAAACTCTCCAAACACTTCCGACCTACGCCTGCCCGGACTTCCCTACTGCGACGAGTACTTTCGTTCATCCCCACCCTCGGCGCCACCCGTGACTCCCGCGCCAAGCTCCGCCCCGAGGTGTACGCCTACCACAGGCGCTTGAAACTAGCGGCCTACTTTGAAAATTTGGAATCATTCCATCTAGCTAACTAGATATGTGATGTACTAGTGTTCTAGTGATACAATATCTAATTGATGCTTACCTTCATTTTAATCAAGCGTACTCTCATTCAGGGTCTTGTTTAGAAACACTGATATAGGAAAAGAGCTCCATCAGGTCACCCTCAGAACTAAACCGTTGTGTCAAAGTTGTCCGAGCCACAACACGACAATCTCATGCTCTATTGTTCACCCACTCACACATGGACTGTAAGAGTTGCTATGGATGCTATTCGGATTGCGCAATTCACCCTGGAAGCGTTCCCATGGCAATAAACCGGCAGTGAGAGATTATGGAGAATCTGATATTGTCTTCAGAATTGAAACGTGTTACTCCTGCTCTTTTCTCCCCCCCCCTCCTGGCTCTCGTAATCCCATGTGCTTAACATAGCTTTGCTTTGATGTGCGCTACTCCGGAGCTCTCCATCCAAGTCTGTTCTTGTTCCTCGCCGAGGAGATTAAAACTTCTTCTCTCAAGGTCATTAGAAGACATTAAGTGAGATGAAGCACTGAGGAGTACTGTGTGCATGTGACCTAGCGGAGAAAGTCAAAAGGGTTAGGCCAGCGGTGGCCGTTGGCCAACCCTCCTGGAGAGCTAGTGGGTGCATGCTTTTGTTTCAGCTCTGCTCTAACCCCCACCTGAATCTACTAAATCAGCTGCTCATTAGAACTTTGATTAGTAGAATCAGGTGTGTTGGAGCAGGGCTGTAACAAATGTCTGCTTATCTAGTAGGTCTCCATGAGGAGGGTTGGCCACCCTTGGGTTAGATCTTGGTGTCCCTAGTATGTGTACCACTTACTATTAGCATGGATGCTAGCTAAATGCTGTTTTCGTATTGACTATGTTTTACCACAGACCCCAGTGCTTGGTGATGACGGGATACCCCAACTCCCGTCCGGCTCTGCTCCACCTGGTCCACGCCTTCACCAAGAACGTGGGCCTGATGATCTGCGGCCATGTGCGCACGGTGAGTAACCAGAGACTTTGCCTACCTGGAGACCATTTTGACTGTACTATGGCACACAACGGGGCCACTTTGGCTCCATTTCACAATGTTTCACTCTTATCTTATAGCATACACTACACCTTAGATGACTAATCTCAATGCAATGTCATAATTTATTCTAGTTAACTACCAGTGACTAAGTGCTTTATTAACTCCCATGAATACCATTAGAACCAATTTGCGGGAAACAGAACACAGTGGCTGCCCTATTGTTTTGGACCTTGTTTGTTGTGTTGCTCATATGAATCCCCTGTTTACTTTAAAATCCACATATCCCGTTGATTGAGTCATTGCTCCCAATTAGCGATTTTTCACGACTTTTAGCAACTTTTTTAATCTAAATCCCTCACTTGTGGGTTACCAGGGGGCAATAAAATTACCGCTCCATTAAGGCGGTGTGGGACTGGGGAAATGCGCTGTGCCCACAATGTAAAAAGGCACTTTACAGACACTCCCCCGCCAGTAGCAGCGAAAAGTCTCTGGCCTTAATCAAAAGCACATTTGTCTGGATGTGATGAGGCCTCCGCACAGATCCCTCCACAGGTCCTCTGGGCCTACTGTGGAATATAGTGCCCTCCAACAGTGCCCTCTCTCTCCGTGTTTCTCTCGCTCTCCATCTCTCACTCTCTCTTTCGCTCTCATAAACACACACACTCTCTCTATTCTTCAATTAACACTGGCAAAGAAAAGAGTGCTCCAACACCAGCCAACAGTGAAAACATTCCCTCCTAATGGCCATACATTTTTCTGGCTTAGGGATGCTTTTTACACTAAAGCCCTTCTCTTTAGAAATAAGCAAGACTCTATGAGTGGACCTTTTAAGAAGTGGCTGTTTGAATTGGGGCTTCTTCCATCTACGTTTGTTAATGAGTTGCTAAATGCTACACTTAGCCTTTAGCGTGACTGTGTTCTTATCTATGTGTGTTGTGTCCACAGGGCTCCAGAAGGCCCAACTTCAAAGAGCTGTCCAACGACCAGACGCGTTACCAGCGCTGGCTGCTGAAAAACGAGACCAAGGCTTTCTACACCCCTGTGTTCGCCGACGACATGAGACAGGGCACCCAGTATCTGTTACAGGTGAGAACAGACACACTGCAATTGGTGGAAGCGGTGGGATCTGCTGTAATTGTTTTTATAAGTATAACATTTTTGTTCTATATATATTTGAATTCTACTCTTGTTTCCCTAGAAACACAAGCCTTTGGACTTATGCTAAGTTTGAATTATTTTTCCTAAAGTTCAAGCACATTCAGTCAAAGTGCATGATAATATATTGAAACCCATGGTAGTGTGGTGTTGAGGTCAACTCCAGTTCAACTCCATGGAATGGTCTAATGACATGGAAAAAATATTTTAATGGTCGAGATTGAATTGACCCCAACGCAGGTGGTGCACTTTGATGTTATGATCGCCGGCCAAACTGACTTTTTCATGCTTGAAAGCGATTGCGTAAGCTTATCTTTGGGAGGTGCAGCACCCTGTGAATTGATCTACAGTAGGGAGTTGAAACTCCTGATAGGGATTTATTTAGTAGTTGCTTTAGGTTGTTCTGACCTGTTCTCCCCCTCTGTTTTACCCAAGGCTGCTGGACTGGGTCGCCTGAGGCCCAACACTCTGGTGATTGGCTACAAGAGCGACTGGAGGGACGGAGACATGATGAACGTGGAGACCTACATCCACATGATCCAGTGAGTAAGCGGGGGCTTTGCAAGCCACCTCATCAAAAGGCTGTCCACAAAGACACCTGATTTAGAACAGTAATTGTTTTAAAGCACCTGAACATGCGGTGGGTTGTGATGATAACAAGCTTTGACACACAACCAAAGTACTCTATATGGAATAGTACACACGCGCACACACACACACACACACACACACACACACACACACACACACACAAATACACTACTTTGAACTTATGAAAAGCTCTGTCAACTTTTATTCAGAGTCACAAATCAAATTTTAAACAACAGGTGTAGACTAACAGTGAAATGCTTACTTACGGGCCCTTCCCAACAATGTAGAGAGAAAGAAAATAGATAAATAATAGAAAAGTTAAACATGTAATAATACACAATGAGTAACGATAACTTGGTTATGAGATTATGACCAATGGATTTAGGTTGAATCAGTTCCTGCAGTATTATAGAATGGGTGAAGTCATGCTTTCACATGGTCTGTTAAAATCCCACCTCAACCAGTAAGGCATTTTACTTTGTCCTTCGAAACTTGGCCTCTTTCATTGTGGCTTGAGTCCTTAGCTAGTTTGTTTGCGTTAGCCTGGTTAAAGTGTGTATACGTGTTTAGTCCGAGTGGAAAAGTACACGTTTAATGTAGTGTGTTATACACATACACACACACACACAGGCCCTGCTCAGTGTCAAGCGTCTTCCTGTGAAATGCAAACAGAATGCGTTTGTTTGTTTGTGGCTTTCAGCGATGCCTTTGACTTCCAGTATGGTGCCGTGGTCCTCAGACTGAAGGAGGGACTAGACGTGTCCCACATCTCAGAACAAGGTGTACACACACACACACACTGAAACACTTTCATACCAAATGACATGATATACTTACCCACACACACACATGCTCAAACACTCCCTTGCCAAATGACTAATCTTATCAGCTTGTCTCATATTTGTTTCCTCCAAAAACGTTATTCAGTTATTGAAGCACCAGTATTTTGCCGCGTCATGTTAATTTGTTCAGCGCAACGATTGTGTCTGGGCCAAATTGCAACTACACCTGGAATCGAGAGCATCCAATTATGAGGTGTGGTTGTTACAGTTGGAGAGAGATGAATCAAACAAGTGACTCAAAGGGATTTTTCAGTAGATTAACCTTCCAAAGACAGTCCAGCTGCAGATTAAAGACGTTAGGCTCTTTGATTTGTTCTTACGCAGTCACTCCCTGTTAACCTTCTTATTCATCTTCACTTAAAGGTTAACATTTTCTATCTCTGTTTAGTTTTGGATTTGAAACCCATTTGTTCTACATAATAAGGAAGAGAATGTCTTGGTTGATACATAGACGTGTTACTCACATACCATTCGTTCACCAATAAGTCTTAGTCAATGCATGTAGATAATAACTGCATTCAAATGAAATAAAACTCAAGTTTTTGCTTGTCTGTGGGAAGCAACTGCATCGATTTTTACAGAGCCATACATGACTGCTTGTACTTTCTAGTTGAATTCATCTTCCTTAGTCCAGTCACTTGACCTGGCTTGTACCATGGCCAATAGTTGGCGTCGACTCTGCTTGTCCACCTAAATTCACCTAAATTGGCCCAAATGGTTCAGCCACCATTTTAGAACACTGTTTGCCTTTTACCCATCAACTAACCCCATCATCAAGATTATTTCCTACATTTTAACAGTTACCGTTCACATCTGTGTTTAGTGGACACACAAATTACTCTATTTTCCAGGTAATTGGTTTTTGACGTTTCTAGATGTTATTTTTGCACTAGGCTAATAGTTCAGCGTCACGGATAATTTGTTAACAAACGTTAACAGAACGTCCGGTAAACATGGTTTTCAGTTGGCTAATGGTTTCGCTTTGTCATTTCACAGATGACCTGCTGTCATCGCAGGAGAAGACGTCAGGGATGAAGGACTTGGTTGTGTCCATCGACATGAAGGACTCTGACGGAGACTCGTCCAAGCCTTCGTCCAAGGCCACCAGTGTCCAGAACAGCCCAGCCATCCAGAAAGGTCAGGCGTCATTCTAAAGTAACCCACACATAAACAGTGAGTGCCTTTTTACTTAGCTTTCACACCAGTGGTTGTGTGCACATACCTGATTCGGCTAATCGAAGTCCTGCTAGCTGTGCAGGACGAAAACACTCTGTCGCTCTGCAGGAGCAGGAGGGTTGGTCACCTTATTTTTAATAACTTCACATTGAGATATGGAACATTAGGCGTTTGTGAAGACATTCAATGGTTTGATACTGTGCCAAAGTTATGAAATCACAATGTGAATGTGCTGTTTTGGCTCTTGAGAAAGAGGAAGGGGTTTATGGGTCAGGATGTAAGAATTCTGAAAGCAGTTTACCGCCACTTGCTGATCCCCATCTAGATCTCTCAAAGGCCTCCCTTATGCTCCTCCTGCCAGCCACTCACTAGGCTACACTGAGTAAGCTGCTCTACGCCGAGAGGAAGTGGCCTCTGACCCTGTGACCCCCAGCCTTCCCACTGGGCCCAGTTTGTTAGTCTCCACAGCCCACAGATGGCTTTACTACAGAGTGTGTGTCCTTGTTTGTTTACACACACACACACACATGTGCATGTACACAAACATACACAAAAATATCTCATGCATGTATACTCATGTGCGCACACACACACACACACACACACACACACACACACACACACACAGATGGCTTAAAGTTTTTGTCTGTGTCTGCTGCCTCCTTAAACTGTGGACAAACAAACAGGGAAACTGTTCCCACAGTGTTTTACGGACAGGCTGGGAAATTCAGTTGATTCCCGACCCGGAATTCTATTTACGCCACACACGTCATGTTTAATTGTTTCCTCCCGTAGGGAGTCCCATGTCCATGACCCTGTGGATAGGGCTGGCGATATAGCCTAAAAATCATATACTTTTTTTTTTTCAAACATATGGACGATTCACACCCATTGACTTTTTCCACATTTTGTTACATTACAGCCTTATTCTAAAATGGATGAAAGATATTGTTTTCTCATCAATATACACACAATACCCCATAATGACAAAGCGAAAACAAGTTTTTCGATATTTCTGCAAATGTGTATATATACAGTGGGGAGAACAAGTATTTGATACACTGCCGATCTTGCAGGTTTTCCTACTTACAAAGCATGTAGAGGTCTGTAATTTTTATCAAAGGTACACTTCAACTGTGAGAGACGGAATCTAAAACAAAAATCCTGAAAATGACATTGTATGATTTTTAAGTAATTAATTTGCATTTTATTGCATGACATAATTATTTGATCACCTACCAACCAGTAAGAATTCCGGCTCTCACAGACCTGTTAGTTTTTTTTAAGAAGCCCTCCTGTTCTCCACTCATTACCTGTACTAACTGCACCTGTTTGAACTCGTTACCTGTATAAAAGACACCTGTCCACACACTCAATCAAACAGACTCCAACCTCTCCACAATGGCCAAGACCAGAGAGCTGTGTAAGGACATCAGGGATAAAATTGTAGACCTGCACAATGCTGGGATGGGTTACAGGACAATAGGCAAGCAGCTTGGTGAGAAGGCAGCAACTATTGGCGCAATTATTAGAAAATGGAAGAAGTTCAAGATGAAGGTCAATCACCCTCGGTCTGGGGCTCCATGCAAGATCTCACCTCACATCAATGATCATGAGGAAGGTGAGGGATCAGCCCAGAACTACACGGCAGGACCTGGTCAATGACCTGAAGAGAGCTGGGACCACAGTCTCAAAGAAAACCATTAGTAACACACTACGCCGTCATGGATTAAAATCCTGCAGCGCACGCAAGGTCCCCCTGCTCAAGCCAGCGCATGTCCAGGCCCGTCTGAAGTTTGCCGATGATCCAGAGGAGGAATGGGAGAAGGTCATGTGGTCTGATGAGACAAAAATAGAGCTTTTTGGTCTAAACTCCACTCGCCGTGTTTGGAGGAAGAAGGATGAGTACAACCCCAAGAACACCATCCCAACCGTGAAGCATGGAGGTGGAAACATCATTCTTTGGGGATGCTTTTCTGCAAAGGGGACAGGACGACTGCACCGTATTGAGGGGAGGATGGATGGGGCCATGTATCGCGAGATCTTGGCCAACAACCTCCTTCCCTCAGTAAGAGCATTGAAGATGGGTCGTGGCTGGTTCTTCCAGCATGACAATGACCCGAAACACACAGCCAGGGCGACTAAGGAGTGGCTCCGTAAGAAGCATCTCAAGGTCCTGGAGTGGCCTAGCCAGTCTCCAGACCTGAACCCAATAGAAAATCTTTGGAGGGGGCTGAAAGTCCTTATTGCCCAGCGACAGCCCCGAAACCTGAAGGATCTGGAGAAGGTCTGTATGGAGGAGCGGGCCAAAATCCCTGCTGCAGTGTGTGCAAACCTGGTCAAGACCTACAGGAAACGTATGATCTCTGTAATTGCAAACAAAGGTTTCTGTACCAAATATTAAGTTCTGCTTTTCTGATGTATCAAATACTTATGTCATGCAATAAAATGCAAATTCATTACTTAAAAATCATACAATGTGATTTTCTGGATTTTTGTTTTAGATTCCGTCTCTCTCAGTTGAAGTGTACCTATGATAAAAATTACAGACCTCTACATGCTTTGTAAGTAGGAAAACCTGCAAAATCGGCAGTGTATCAAATGCTTGTTCTCCCCATTTTGTGTGTGTGTGTGTGTATATATATATATATATATATATATATATATATATATATATATATATATATATATATATATATATATATATATATATACCTTATTTACATAAGTATTCAGACCCTTTGCTATGACACTTGAAATTGAGATCAGGTGCATCCTGTTTCCATTGATCATCCTTAAGATGTTTCTACAACTTGATTGGAGTCCATCTGGGGTAAATTCAATTGATTGGACATGATTTGGAAAGGCACACACTGGTCTATGTAAGGCCCCACAGTTGACAGTGCATGTCAGAGCAAAAACCAAGCCATGAGGTCGAAAGAATTGTCTGTAGAGATCTGAGACAGGATTGTGTCGAGGCACAGATCTGGGGAAGGGTACCACAACATTTCTGTAGCATTGAAGGTCTCCAAGAACACAGTGGCCTCCATCATTCTTAAATGGAAGAAAGTTTGGAACCAACAAGACTCTTCCTAGAGCTGGCCTCCCAGCCAAACTGAGCAATCGGGGGAGAAGGGCTTTGGTCAGGGAGGTGCCAAGAAGCCGATGGTCACACTGATAGAGCTCCAGAGTTCCTCTGTGGAGATGGGAGAACCTTCCAGAAGGACAACCATCTCTGCAGCACTCCACCAATCAGGCTTTATGGTAGAGTGGCCAGACGGAAGCCACTCCTCAGTAAAAGGCACATGACAGCCCGCTTGGAGTTTGCCAAAAGGCATCTAAAGACACTCAGACCATTAGAAACAAGATTCTCTGGTCTGATGAAACCAAGATTTAACTCTTTGGCCTGTATGCCAAGCGTCACATCTGGAGGAAAGCTGGCACCATCCCTATGGTGAAGCATGGTGGTGGCAGCATCATGCTGTGGGGAAGTCTTTCAGCGGCAAGGACTGGGAGACTAGTCAGGATCGTGGGAAAGCTGAACGGAGAAAAGTACAGAGATCCTTGATGAAAACCTGCTCCAGAGGGCTCAGTACCTCAGACTGGGTCGAAGGTTCACCTTCCAACAGGACAATGACCCTAAGCACACAGCCAAGACAATGCAGGAGTGGCTTCGGAACAAGTCTCTTAATGTCCTTGAGTGGCCCAGCCAGAACCCGATCCAACATCTCTGGAGAGACCTGAAAATAGCTGTGCAGCGACGCTCCCCATCCAAACTGACAGAGGTTGACAGGATCTGCAGAGAAGAATGGAAGTTTTTCACAACATTATTCTCCATCTTCTCACACTCGACCAGAAAACCTCTCCAAAATACTTCAGAATTAATTGATTTAGGCCAAGGCGTTGTATGTTTTTTAACTCCTTAAGGTTGACATCTGCGCCCCTGCAGAAATGTAATTAGTATAATAAAAATATCTGCATAAAAATCTGTCCGTTTAAGCTAGAGAGATCTGTTTTTTTGCATCGGATGCATCTCAATCCACCGCATCCGCCTATGTCGCATTTACGCATCTGTGGTGAAAAGTTACAGAGCTAGAGCAGTGTGTCAGACTATGAGATATCCTGAAAATCAGTCTGCTCACAAAATCGTCTGTAGCGTCCTAACGGTTTGGCCTACAAAACTATTATGACCCCTCTATGGAAAGATGAGACTCTCACGAACACGATGGTGTTCTCCGTTTTGCTCTACGACCCCCACAACCTTATTGGGACTCGTCTGAAGTCGGTACAGCCGATCTGCCAACTTCTGTCTGTAGCATCCGAACAGTTTGGGCTACACACTAATGTGACCCCCACTAATGTGACCCCCTCACGAACATGCACGTCGGTTGTTTTGCTCTAGGACGCCCACAAGCCTCACAAGACTTGTTGAAAGGTCACTCGGCACCAGTTGAAAAAAATAATGGAAGGACATATGGAGACAGAAAAATAATATCCTGATCTTTCTTATAGGACAGACACTAGAGAACAAACTTATTTGGATTTCTTGGGGACTATCTGTTGTTCTATGTAGTGCATCTGTTATTCAATGTGTTTGTATGGGCTAATAGCAGGAAGGCCAAAATGTTTTTTTTTTATCAAATAATTTTGGGTATATTTTTGTATATTTCAAATTCTAAATCAAATAGCTAAATGATCCTTGGGATGACCTTCTTAAAACAATTGCATATACACTACCGTTCAAAAGTTTGGGGTCACTTAGAAATGTTTTTGCCCAATAAAATAACATAAAATTGATCAGAAATTGTTCAGTATCTGGAGCATCAGCAATTGTGGGTTTGATTACAGGCTCAAAATGGCCAGAAACAAATAAACTTATTCTGAAAGTCGTCAATCTATTCTGGTTCTGAGTAATTGCCAAGAAACTGAAGATCTCGTACAACGCTGTGTACTACTCCCTTCACAGAACAGCGCAAACTGGCTCTAACCAGAATAGAAAGAGGAGTGGGAGGCCCCGGTGCACAACTGAGCAAGAGGACAAATACATTAGTGTCTAGTTTGAGAAACAGATGCCTCACAGGTCCTCAACTGGCAGCTTCATTAAATAGTACCTGCAAAACACCAGTCTCAACGTCAACAGTGAAGAGGTGACTCCGGGATGCTGACCTTCTAGGCAGAGATGCAAAGAAAAAGCCGTATCTCAGACTGGCCAATAAAAAGAAAAGATTAAGATGGGCAAAAGAACACAGACACTGGACAGTTGAAGATTGGAAAAAAGTGTTATGGACAGATGAATCGAAGTTTGAGGAAGAAGAACATTTGTGAGACGCAGACCAAATGAAAAGATGCTGGAGGAGTGCTTGATGCCATCTGTCAAGGATGGTGGAGGCAATGTGATTGTCTGGGGGTGCTTTGGTGGTGGTAAAGTGGGAGATTTGTACAGGGTAAAAGGGATCTTGAAGAAGGAAGGCTATCACTCCATTTTGCAATGCCATGCCATACCCTGTGGACGGTGCTTGATTGGATCCAATTTCCTCCTACAACAGGACAATGACCCAAAGCACAGCTCCAAACTATGCAATAACTATTTAGGGAAGAAGCAGTCAGCTGGTATTCTGTCTAAAATGGAGTGGCCAGCACAGTTACCGGATCTCAACCCTATTGAGCTGTTGTGGGAACAGCTTGACCGTATGGTACGTAAGAGGTGCCGATCAAGCCAATTCAACTTGTGGGAGGTGCTTCAGGAAGTATGAGGTGAAATCTCTTCAGATTACCTCAACAAATGGACAACTAGAATGCCAAAGTTCTGCAAGGCTGTAATTGCTGCACATTGAGGATTCTTTGACGAAAGCAAAGTTTGAGGGAAACAATTATTATTTCAATTAAAAATAAATATTTTTTAACCTTGCCAATGACTACATTTCCTATTCATTCTGCTATAATTCCTATTCAAACTCATTTCATGTATGTTTTCATGGAAAACAAGGACATTTCTAAGTGACCCCAAACCTTGGAACGGAAGTGTAGCTTAGTAGAACCCCCCCCTCCCCTGGCTTAGACAGAGCTTAGAATCTTATGGGTTAAACTGTGAAGTTGTCGTGAAGCAGTGTTTTGCAGCCAATTATTTTGGTCTCTGTGAAGACTAAAGGGTGTGTCCTGGCTATAAACACTGGTTTCACTAGCTAATGGCATGTCCCAAGAAATGTACAAAGTGCCCGTCCACAACTAAGCCAGTAGTGGAGTTTTCCGATTACACGATTTCTAACCATTGCCGGGGTTCACAATTCCTTTCCTGAGGGACCCCAAGTGTGTGTGCTTGTGTGTTACCACTGATTACTTTTCCATTGGAGCCCATTCCATCTCGTTTGGCGCAGGGATAAATGACATAGCGGCTCCCTAACACACGCACCCCCATCCCCCAGAACAGACCCCTCATTGTAGCGGTGTTATTGACGCATGTTTCCAATCATGGCGGCAACAGCATAAACATTAACTTCTCCATTCTCTCTCTCGCTCTCTTTTTCTTCTTTATCTCCCTCCATCTTTTTTTTTTTTTTACATTATCCAGATGACGATGACGAATGCAAAGCCGCAACGAAGCCCCTGTTGAAAAAAGGCAGGCAGCCCGCCTTTGAGTTACCTTACTTTTTCCTTTCTCTCCTTCTATTACTTTCACTCATTCGCACACATACTCATTCTTTCTCTCGGTCATATAACCGTATAAAACAAATATATATATCTTGCTCTCACTCTGTCATGAGCTTTCGAAAAGCCGTCGAACCTGGTTGAGTTTGGTTTTCTGTTTCTATTGCTCTCACCGTCATGCACACACTGTCTCTCACTCTTTGTTACTCTGTCTTTCTCTGTCATCTAGTAGTCTTAACTGCCTTGCTAGCTGCCTGGCTCTGGGAATAACTGTGTACGTTTTTCCTCCTTTCCTCTTTCCGCTCCTAACTCACCCTGGCTTCCTGTAGCTCTAACGCAGTCTCTGAAGCACCGTTGCGCGTGTGTGTGTGCTCTGATGTTGTATTTTCTTTAAATCCTTTTCTTTCCTGGACTTCCTCAGTCTTAAGTGCCTGTTTCTTCTCTCAACAGAGATGACACTGTCTTCAGTACTTTGTCACTGTCTCTGTCTGTTCCTTTCTAGCAGGCTGCTCTTTGGATTTGTCCCTCTTCTCTTTCTTCCTCTCTGTCTATGTCTCGCTCTCCTGTTGTAATAGTCATATGCTTTTCAGGTACAGCTGTTTGATATCCATTCTGTCACCTTAGCTAAGTCACAGACATTCACTAAGACAGACCGAGTAGAGAAGGGAATGTTACAATAAAGACACTCACTGACTGCACACAGTTTACATTCCACTGAGCCCACTTCAGAGATGGTTTCCATTGTACCGTGACTGTTAGATAAAAAACCCACTTCCTTGGATTTCTATCACACACTCAAAGTAAGTCACACACAGCCTGGTGCCAGATCTGTTTAGGCTGTCTTGCTAATGACCACAGTGCTTATCTAGGATCAGGTCCGTATAATCTTATTCATTATGATCTGAAAGACAAAATGGATCCTAGACACTTTATGAATGTGTGCCCAGTCTTAGTCACACATAGTGAGGAATTTCTAGCTAAATCGTCTCCCTCATTGAGGATGCAACTTCCTGTCTTGATCTTAGTGTCTGACATAGCACTTTTTTGGCCACACAGACAAGAGCCCCCAGAGGTTGAACGTGGCAGACCAGAGGCTGCTGGACGCCAGTCAGCTGTTCAAGAGGAAACAGGGCAAGGGCACCGTGGACGTGTGGTGGCTCTTTGACGATGGCGGTGAGTTTGGCCCTCCAGACCACCAGGGGGTGATTTGTGGTTTCTTTTTGCCTATTGGTTGCTGTTACAGAGCAGCTTGGTTGTAGTATGAAGATTTACAAACACTGTATTGAGTATAGAATTCAGGACAGTCAATTCAGGAAGAGGTCAGGATGACTGAGCAGTCTAAAGCGTGCTGCGCTCACAATTAGAATTGGTTGAGAATATCACTTCTGTTACTAGGTGTGAATATCACCGGTGAGTAACATATGTAACAAGAGTAACATGCCACTGAGCAATTTGAAAAACATACATTGGACAAGTAACATTGCACCAACATGAGTGGAGTAGGCACAGCAGCCATGTTGACACTTTGAAAACATTTAAAGAGACCTTAGTGTGCGACCATAACTCTGCACATCAGTAAGAAGAGACTGGTATTGCTGCATTGCACCAAAGGCAGATGGTGACTGACTGTGTATCTGTATTGTGACTGTGCCAGGCCTTACCCTGCTCATCCCCTACCTGCTCACCAACAAGAAGAAGTGGAAGGACTGCAAGATCCGCGTCTTCATCGGAGGCAAGATCAACAGGATCGACCACGACCGCAGAGCGTGAGTCACCTTCTATTCACTACAGATCTTTATTGCTGTTCTATTCACTGTAGATCTATACTGCCAATGGGAATGTATTGAAAGTACACTACATGACCACAAGTATGTGGACACCTGCTCGTCGAACATCTCATTCCAAAATCATGGGCATTAATATGGAGTTGGTCCCCCCTTTGCTGCCTCCACTCTTCTGGGAGGCTTTCCACTAGATTTTGGAACATTGCTGCAGGGACTTGCTTCCATTCAGCCACAAGAGCATTAGTGAGGTCGGGCACCGATGTTAGGCGATTAGGCCTGGCTCGCAGTCGGCGTTCCAATTCATCCCAAAGGTGTTCGATAGAGTTGAGGTCAGGGCTCTGTGCAGGCCAGTCCAGTTTTTCCACACCGATCTCAACAAACCATTTCTGTATGGACCTCGCTTTGTGCGCAGGGGCATTGTCATGCTGAAACAGGAAAGGGCGTTCCCCAAACTGTTGCCACAAAGTTGGAAGCATAGAATCGTCTAGAATGTCATTGTATGATGTAGCGTTAAGATTTCCCTTCACTGGAACTAAGGGGCCTAGCCAGAACATGAAAAACAGCCCTAGACCATTATTCATCTTCCACCTAACTTTACAGTTGGCACTATGCATTCCGCCAGGTAGCGTTCTCCTGGCATCTGCTAAACCCAGATTTGTCCGTCGGACTGCCAGATGGTGATGCGTGATTAATCACTCCAGAGAATGCGTTCCCACTCCAGCTGACGCTTGGCATTGCGCATGGGGATCTTAGACTTGTGTGCGGCTGCTTGGCCATGGAAATGGAAACCCATTTCATAAAGCTCCCGACAAACAGTTAATGTGTAGACGTTGCTTCCAGAGGTAGTTTGGAACTTGGTAGTGAGTGTTGCAACCGTGGACAGACGATTTTTACGTGCTTCAGCACTCGGCGGTCCCGTTCTGTGAGCTTGTGTGGCCTACCACTTCGCGGCTGAGCCGTTGTTGCTCCTAGACATTTCCACTTCACAATAACAGCACTTACATTTGCCCGGGCAGCTCTAGCAGGGCAGAAATTTGACAAACAGACTTGTTGGAAAGGTGGCATCCTATGACAGTGCCACGTTGAAAGTCACTGGGCTCTTCAGTAAGACCGTTCTAATGCCAATGTTTGTCTATGGAGATTGCATGGCTGTGTGCTCGATTTAATACACCTGTCAGCAACGGGTGTTGCTAAAATAGCCGAATCAACTAATCTGAAGCGGTGTCCACATGCTTTTGTATATACAGTGGGGAGAACAAGTATTTGATACACTGCCGATTTTGCAGGTTTTCCTACTTACAAAGCATGTAGAGGTCTGTAATTTTTATCATAGGTACACTTCAACTGTGAGAGACAGAATCTAAAACAAAAATCCAGAAAATCACATTGTATGATTTTTAAGTAATTAATTTGCATTTTATTGCATGACATAAGTATTTGATACATCAGAAAAGCAGAACTTTATATTTGGTACAGAAACCTTTGTTTGCAATTACAGAGATCATACGTTTCCTGTAGGTCTTGACCAGGTTTGCACACACTGCAGCAGGGATTTTGGCCCACACCTCCATACAGACCTTCTCCAGATCCTTCAGGTTTCGGGGCTGTCGATGGGCAACACAGACTTTCAGCTCCCTCCAAAGATTTTCTATTGGGTTCAGGTCTGGAGACTGGCTAGGCCACTCCAGGACCTTGAGATGCTTCTTACGGAGCCACTCCTTAGTTGCCCTGGCTGTGTGTTTCAGGTCGTTGTCATGCTGGAAGACCCAGCCACGACCCATCTTCAATGCTCTTACTGATGGAAGGAGGTTGTTGGCCAAGATCTCGCGATACATGGCCCCATCCATCCTCCACTCAATACGGTGCAGTCGTCCTGTCCCCTTTGCAGAAAAGCATCCCCAAAGAATTATGTTTCATGCTTCACGGTTGGGATGGTGTTCTTGGGGTTGTACTCATCCTTCTTCTTCCTCCAAACACAGCGAGTGGAGTTTAGACCAAAAAGCTCTATTTTTGTCTCATCAGACCACATGACCTTCTCCCATTCCTCCTCTGGATCATTCAGATGGTCATTGGCAAACTTCAGACGGGCCTGGACATGCGCTGGCTTGAGCAGGGGGACCTTGCGTGAGCTGCATGATTTTAATCCATGACGGCGTAGTGTGTTACTAATGGTTTTCTTTGAGACTGTGGTCCCAGCTATCTTCAGGTCATTGATCAGGTCCTGCTGTGTAGTTCTGGGCTGATCCCTCACCTTCCTCATGATCATTGATGCCCCACGAGGTGAGATCTTGCATGGAGCCCCAGACCGAGGGTGATTGACCGTCATCTTGAACTTCTTCCATTTTCTAATAATTGTGCCAACAGTTGTTGCCTTCTCACCAAGCTGCTTGCCTATTGTCCTGTAGCCCATCCCAGCCTTGTGCAGGTCTACAATTTTATCCCTGATGTCCTTACACAGCTCTCTGTTCTTGGCCATTGTGGAGAGGTTGGGGTCTGTTTGATTGAGTGTGTGGACAGGTGTTTTTTATACAGGTAACGAGTTCAAACAGGTGCAGTTAATACAGGTAATGAGTGGAGAACAGGAGGGCTTCTTAAAGAAAAACTAACAGGTCTGTGAGAGCTGGAATTCTTACTGTTTGGTAGGTGATCAAATACTTATGTCATGCAATAAAATGCAAATTAATTACTTAAAAATCATACAATGTGATTTTCTGGATTTTTTAACTATGTCTCTCATAGTTGAAGTGTACCTATGATAAAAATTACAGACCTCTACATGCTTTGTAAGTAGGAAAACCTTCAAAATCGGCAGTGTATCAAATACTTGTTCTGTACATTGTATTAGTGAATGACGCATTTTCCTATTCTTCCATTCTTTCCATTCCATAATGAGTAATACATTTTTATATTCTCTTACATCCTAGATTTAGGTCTGTCTGGCAAATTCCCTCTAAAACTCTCAAACCCCTAATACCTCCAATGCTAAATAAGATCAGTGTGTTACTGGTTCGAGGGATGAGCTCGCTCTGCTCTTAGCTGCCCGTCAGAGCCCTAAGCTGCATCGCCTTCCAAAAATACTGCTTAGTCACTGACTGGCATGGGCACGGCCCTACGGGATTAAATCCACGTTGTTCCACCACCACATTAAATCTGCATGTCTTTTTATATAACAATGTATTGTTGTATTCGCTTCACAGAAGCAGGTTAGGGTCTCTATCTTTCTCTCTCTCTTTCACACTATTTCTGATTCTATTCATCTCTATCTCTCTCTTTCTCCCACTCTTCTGTTTTCTCTCTGTCTCTCTCTTTCAGTCTCTTTCTGTAAATTACAAACCAACGTGGCGGCAGTGTTATTGTCCAACGCAAATGTCCTGACCCTCACTCTCATTGTCCCCCACAGCTGCCTCCTGCCTCCTTTTGTTGGCTAAAATTAGCACCGCACTGGCAACCCAGGCCTTCCACCCTAGAGTGTGTGTGTGTGTGTGTGTGTGTGTGTGTGTGTGTGTGTCACAAGCCATATGTTTGTGCGTTCATTACTTGAAAAAACAGGAACAGACATTTCCTCACTAATTAAAAAAAGTTTCAGTATTGGCAATCTATCTTTTTTGGACATCATTCGTTCAATACTTTATTGCAATAATATCCCATCCAAACTCTCCGCATGTAATTGAGGATTCAAGTATCCCTTTGATATAAAAGTTGTTGGATATAAAAGTCGCCGTACTTAGGCAGACATGACATGTTTGGAGTCGCTGACGCTGAAAATGTTTTGGAGAAGTTATCCCTAGATTTAAAAAAGCCTAGGGAAATGACTGTCATAAACAGAAAGCCTCTCAACAGCCACAACAGCTTTTTTTTCTCTCCAAAATATCTGGAAAATATCGACATCAGCTCGCACCTGTTCGCTGTGATACTTCAAACAGCGGCAATCCTTTCAAATGGCTTCTTGATGTCCTCAGTGGCTTGTGCGGTCTCTCCGAAGCTCTTGGATGTAAGTTGCATGAAATGTGGCTTCAGTGTGTTATAAAGCGTTTGTTATTCAATTTTCTCCTCAGGATGGCCACACTGCTCAGCAAGTTCAGGATAGACTTCTCCGACATCAACGTACTAGGAGACATCAACACCAAGCCCAAGAAAGAGAAGTATGTTGTTTTTCTTATGACCGTTCTGAGGTTGTCGGGCGGGTTGGGGTTGGCAATGATTTTAAAATGTCTATTTTAATTTCACAAATTTGTTCTAAATTGAAATGCCAAGGCAAAATGTATGTGAAAAGCGTCGTCCGGGGTAGGGGAGGGTTTGGCCCGGGGGCTTTACCTGGCTCATCGTGCTGCAGGCTAACTTCGGTCGTCAGTTGCACAGTGTTTCCTCTGACACATTAGTGCAGCTGGCTTCCGGGTTAAGCAGGCGGGTGTTAAGAACCGCGGTTTGGCGGGTCATGTTTCGGAGGACGCATGACTCGACCTTCACCTCTCCCGAGCCCGTTGGGGAGTTGCAGCAATGAGATTGGATTGCAATTGGGGAGAAAAAGGGGGTAAAATACAACAAGAAAAAGGAAAGTGAAGTGAGCACACGCTGTTCTTTGAACTGGGAGTCAACCAGTCTGCAAGCACTTAAATATTTACAGGAAACCCTTTTTATTGACATTCTCAAATATTAATAATGGGATAATTCCCTTTTGGACGCTTAAGTGGCATATTGCTGATTGCTAATGTAAGCTGCAGGCCGTAGAAAACGGATTATTGTGCATAGTAACAGACAGTAGCGTTTTAAAAATGTTAGTTTTTTCCTAGTTAGCTATGTTTCTCATCGACTTTTAATTATTTCCAATGCCTTGCGTAAAGAGACATTCATCGAAATGTATGCTACTAATGATAGCAGTCAGAAACAATCAAATTGAATGGTCCCCACGTTATTGTAACACAACCATTGCAATAATTCCAAATAATAATATAATATAATATGCCATTTAGCAGATGCTTTTATCCAAAGCGACTTAGTCATGTGCGTATACATTTTTATGTATGGGTGGTCCCGGGGATCGAACCCACTACCCTGGCGTTACAAGCGCCATGCTCTACCAATTGAGCTACAGAGGACCACCAAATCAAGTACATTTGACTTGAATTTTTTTTGAATGAAACATATTACTGCAATATACAGGTAACTGCCTAAATAAAGGAAGTGCTTGAGTAAATGAGGGATACAAAGTATATTGAAAGCAGGTCCTTCCACACAGGTGTGGTTCCTGAGTTAATTAAGCAATTAACATCCCATCATGCTCAGGGTCATGTATAAACATGCCCAGTTGCCCATTATATTGGCTACCATGGCTAGAAGAAGAGATCTGTGACTTTAAAAGAGTGGTCTCAAAGGAGCATAGCGGGGTTAAATTGTGTGTGTGATAGTGGGGTTAAATTGTGTGAATCAGTCACCATATCTCAACCCAATTGAAGATTCTGGAGCGGCGCCTGAGACAGCGTTTTCCACCACCGTTATCAAAACACCAAATTTGGTATTTGTTAGGATACCCATTAGCAGCTGCAAAAGCATCAGCTACTCATCATGTGGTCCACATGACATAATACATAGTACAGACAATTATTAGTCAAGGACTGAAATACATAAATTTTTAACATCATACATAGCCTACATATCAGTACATACACACAATATCTAGGTCTAATACATAGTACAGTGCAAATTACAATACAATATATAATATGGCGGTGTCTCTTCACAGTCCCCTTTGTGCAGTAAGGTGTTCTTTATTCAGTTTTTTTTAAACTGGTTTTATTGCTAGCTTGAGTTACCTGGGGTGGCAGAGTTCCATGTAGTCATGGCTCTATTTAATACTGTGCGTTTCCCAGCCTCTGTTCTGGACCAGGGGCAGGGGAAAAATACATGTAATCTATGCACTTACATAGCGACTGGAGGACGCTTTTCCCGTGGTTCCTGTTGTAACGAGAAGCAATGTGCTTAATATTAGTAATGTTGCGCAACATGAGCTCATGGGCTCTCATGAAGTGTTTGTTTAGATTTGCATTGATGTCAGAGTGGTTAGAGGGACAATAGAGTGCTGAGTACCAGGCAATTAGCAAGTTTGGTAGGCTACTAATGGCCATCAGCAGCATTTACATTTTCGTCATTTAGCAGACGCTCTTATCCAGAGTGACTTACAAATTGGTGCATTCACCTTATGATAGCCAGTGGGACAACCACTTTACAATATGTTATTTTTTATTTAGTTTTCTCTTTGGGGTGGGGTAAGGGGGGGTAGAAGGATTACTTTATCCTATCCCAGGTATTCCTTAAAGAGGTGGGGTTTTAAGTGTCTCCGGAAGGTGGTGAGTGACTCCGCTGTCCTGGCGTCGTGAGGGAGCTTGTTCCACCATTGGGGTGCCAGAGCAGCGAACAATTTTGACTGGGCTGAGCGGGAACTGTGCTTCCGCAGAGGTAGGGGGGCCAGCAGGCCAGAGGTGGATGATCGCAATGCCCTCGTTTGGGTGTAGGGACTGATCAGAGCCTGAAGGTACGGAGGTGCCGTTCCCCTCACAGCTCCGTAGCCAAGCACCATGGTCTTGTAGCAGATGCGAGCTTCAACTGGAAGCCAGTGGAGTGTGCGGAGGAGCAGGGTGACGTGAGAGAACTTGGGAAGGTTGAACACCAGACGGGCTGCGGCGTTCTGGATGAGTTGTAGGGGTTTAATGGCACAGGCAGGGAGCCCAGCCAACAGCGAGTTGCAGTAATCCAGACGGGAGATGACAAGTGCCTGGATTAGGACCTGTGCCGCTTCCTGTGTAAGGCAGGGTCGTACTCTGCAAATGTTGTAGAGCATGAACCTATAGGATCGGGTCACCGCCTTGATGTTAGCGGAGAACGAAAGGGTGTTGTCCAGGGTCACGCCAAGGCTCTGTGCACTCTGGGAGAAGGACACAACGTAGTTCTCAACCGTGATGGCGAGATCATGGAATGGGCAGTCCTTCCCCGGGAGGAAGAGCAGCACCGTCTTGCCGAGGTTCAGCTTGAGGTGGTGATCCGTCATCCACACTGATATGTCTGCCAGACATGCAGAGATGCGATTTGCCACCTGGTTATCAGAAGGGGGAAAGGAGAATATTAATTGTGTGTCGTCTGCGTAGCAATGATAGGAGAGGCCATGTGAGGATATGACGGAGCCAAGTGACTTGGTGTATAGCGAGAATAGGAGAGGGCCTAGAACTGAGCCCTGGGGAACACCAGTGGTGAGAGCACGTGGTGCGGAGACAGATTCTCGCAACGCCACCTGGTAGGAGCGACCTGTCAGGTAGGACGCAATCCAAGAGTGAGCCGCGCCAGAGATGCCCAACTCGGAGAGGGTGGAGAGGAGGATCTGATGGTTCACAGTATCAAAGGCAGCAGATAGGTCTAGAAGGACGAGAGCAGAGGAGAGAGAGTTAGCTTTAGCAGTGCGGAGAGCCTCCGTGACACAGAGAAGAGCAGTCTCAGTTGAATGACCAGTCTTGAAACCTGACTGGTTTGGATCAAGAAGGTCATTCTGAGAGAGATGGCAAGAGAGTTGGCTAAAGACGGCACGCTCAAGAGTTTTGTAGAGAAAATAAAGAAGGGATACTGGTCTATAGTTGTTGACATCGGAGGGATTGAGTGTAGGTTTTTTGAGAAGGGGTGCAACTCTCGCCCTCTTGAAGATGGAAGGGACATAGCCAGCGGTCAAGGATGAGTTGATGAGCGAGGTGAGGTAAGGGAGAAGGTCTCCGGAAATGGTCTGGAGAAGAGAGGAGGGGATAGGGTCAAGCGGGCAGGTTGTTGGGCGGCCGGCCGTCACAAGTCGCAAGATTTCATCTGGAGAGAGAGGGGAGAAAGAAGTCAAAGCATAGGGTAGGGCAGTGTGAGCAGGACCAGCGGTGTCATTTGACTTAACGAGGATCGGATGTCGTCAACCTTCTTTTCAAAATGGTTGACGAAGTCATCCACAGAGAGGGAGGAGGGGAGGGGGGGGGGGGATTCAGCAGGGAGGAGAAGGTGGCAAAGAGCTTCCTAGGGTTAGAGGCAGGGGCTTGGAATTTAGAGTGGTAGAAAGTGGCTTTAGCAGCAGAAACAGAGGAAGAAAATGTAGAGACGAGGGAGTGAAAAGATGCCAGGTCCGCAGGACGTCTAGTTTTCCTCCATTTCCGCTCGGCTGCCCGGAGCCCTGTTCTGTGAGCTCGCAATGAGTCGTCAAGCCACGGAGCAGGAGGGGAGGACCGAGCCGGACGGGAGGATAGAGGACATAGAGAGTCAAAGGATGCAGAAAGGGAGGAGAGGAGGGTTGAGGAGGCAGAATCAGGAGATTGGAGGGAGAAGGATTGAGCAGAGGGAAGAGATGATAGGATGGAAGAGGAGAGAGTAGCGGGAGAGAGAGAGCGAAGGTTCCGACGGCGCATTACCATCTGAGTAGGGGCAGAGTGAGTAGTGTTGGAGGAGAGCGAGAGAGAAAAGGATACAAAGTAGTGGTCAGAGACTTGGAGGGGATTTGCATTGAGATTAGTAGAAGAACAGCATCTAGTAAAGATGAGGTCAAGCGTATTGCCTGCCTTGTGAGTAGGGGGGGACGGTGAGAGGGTGAGGTCAAAAGAGGAGAGGAGTAGAAAGAAGGAGGCAGAGAGAAATGAGTCAAAGGTAGACGTAGGGAGGTTAAAGTCACCCAGAACTGTGAGGGGTGAGCCATCCTCAGGAAAGGAACTTATCAAGTTGTCAAGCTTATTGATGAACTCTCCAAGGGAACCTGGAGGGCGAAAAATGACAAGGATGTTAAGCTTGAATGGGCTAGTGACTGTGACAGCATGGAATTCAAATGAGGAGATAGACAGATGGGTCAGGGGAAAAAGAGAGAACGTCCACTTGGGAGAGATAGGATTCCTGTGCCACCACCCCGCTGACCAGATGCTCTCGGGGTATGCGAGAACACATGGTCAGACGAGGAGAGAGCAGTAGGAGTAGCAGTGTTTTCTGTGGTAATCCATGTCTCCGTCAGCGCCAAGAAGTCGAGGGTCTGGAGGGTAGCATAGGCTGAGATGAACTCTGCCTTGTTGGCCGCAGAACGGCAGTTCCAGAGACTGCCGGAGACCTGGAACTCCACGTGGGTCGTGCATGCAGGGACCACCAAATTAGAGTGGCAGCAGCCACACGGTGTGAGGTGTTTGTATAGCCTGTGCGGAGAGGAGAGAACAGGGATAGACAGACGCATAGTTGACAGGCTACAGAAAATGGCTACAATAATGCAAAGGAGATCGGAATGAAATGAACTAAACATCTGGGAAAGCGAGAGAGCGGGGCCTCCCTCACTTACGTTTCACTGAAACACTCAAATATAACTCTCCCAACTTCCACTTTAGAAATTATAATTGTTGTAAACTACAGTGGTTCAATATTTCTAGGAATAAACTAACTTAGTTTATTCAGCTAGCTAACTTGGTACAGTATTCTTCAGTGAAAACCGTCCAGGGCACCGAATCCTATGACGCCATAGCCAAGTAGCATGCCAGCCTCCAATAACACGGTTTAGCACCAATACTCGGTTACAACAAACCACCAGTGTGTTAACATGCCAAGCAGATCATTCGTGTCCATGTCTAACGTTGTGTAAAGTTTTGGGTTAGTTTTGACAGTTTGAGTGAGTTCGTCAACTTATTCAGCCAGTTAGTTAGCTAGAATAGTTAGCATACTAGCTAGCCATTGCTCTCTGCCAACAAAAAACCCCTCCTTCCACGGCACAAACACACAGAGAGAGCTGGGAGAAGCCTAATTACCGTGATCAACAGTCACGTGTAATTTGACTGCCTTCATGACTCGTGACCGCCGGTGTGGCGGTAATATGGTCAACGTAAAAGCCCTAGTCGGTACAAGATGGTTTGTCCTTATTTATACAGTGGGGAAAAAAGTATTTAGTCAGCCACCAATTGTGCAAGTTCTCCCACTTAAAAAGATGAGAGAGGCCTGTAATTTTCATCATAGGTACACGTCAACTATGACAGACAAATTGAGAAAAAAAATCCAGAAAATCACATTGTAGGAGTAAGTATTTGGTCACCTACAAACAAGCAAGATTTCTGGCTCTCACAGACCTGTAACTTCTTCTTTAAGAGGCTCCTCTGTCCTCCACTCGTTACCTGTATTAATGGCACCTGTTTGAACTTGTTATCAGTATAAAAGACACCTGTCCACAACCTCAAACAGTCACACTCCAAACTCCACTATGGCCAAGACCAAAGAGCTGTCAAAGGACACCAGAAACAAAATTGTAGACCTGCACCAGGCTGGGAAGACTGAATCTGCAATAGGTAAGCAGCTTGGTTTGAAGAAATCAACTGTGGGAGCAATTATTAGGAAATGGATGACATACAAGACCACTGATAATCTCCCTCGATCTGGGGCTCCACGCAAGATCTCACCCCGTGGGGTCAAAATGATCACAAGAACGGTGAGCAAAAATCCCAGAACCACACAGGGGGACCTAGTGAATGACCTGCAGAGAGCTGGGACCAAAGTAACAAAGCCTACCATCAGTAACACACTACGCCGCCAGGGACTCAAATCCTGCAGTGGCAGACGTGTCCCACCTGCTTAAGCCAGTACATGTCCAGGCCCGTCTGAAGTTTGCTAGAGTGCATTTGGATGATCCAGAAGAGGATTGGGAGAATGTCATACGGTCAGATGAAACCAAAATATAACTTTTTGGTAAAAACTCAACTCGTCGTGTTTGGAGGACAAAGAATGCTGAGTTGCATCCAAAGAACAACATACCTACTGTTAAGCATGGGGGTGGAAACATCATGCTTTGGGGCTGTTTTTCTGCAAAGGGACCAGGACGACTGATCCGTGTAAAGGAAAGAATGAATGGGGCCATGTATCGTGAGATTTTGAGTGAAAACCTCCTTCCATCAGCAAGGGCATTTAAGATGAAACGTGGCTGGGTCTTTCAGCATGACAATGATCCCAAACACACCGCCCGGGCAACGAAGGAGTGGCTTCGTAAGAAGCATTTCAAGGTCCTGGAGTGGCCTAGCCAGTCTCCAGATCTCAACCCCATAGAAAATCTTTGGAGGGAGTTGAAAGTATGTGTTGCCCAGCGACAGTCCCAAAACATCACTGCTCTAGAGGAGATCTGCATGGAGGAATGGGCCAAAATACCAGCAACAGTGTGTGAAAACCTTGTGAAGACTTACAGAAAACGTTTGACCTGTGTCATTGCCAACAAAGGGTATTTAACAAAGTATTGAGAAACTTTTGTTATTGACCAAATACTTATTTTCCACCATAATTTGCAAATAAATTCATAAAAAATCCTACAATGTGATTTTCTGGATTTTTTTCTTTCTCATTTTGTCTGTCATAGTTGACGTGTACCTATGATGACAATTACAGGCCTCATCTTTTTAAGTGGGAGAACTTGCACAATTGGTGGCTGACTAAATACTTGTTTTCCCCACTGTATATAGCAACAATTGTTTCACCTCTTCCACTGCCACTTTGTGAAACTCAAAACTACAGTGCTTGTCTTTCATTATTTGGTCCATTATGCATGCATATGAAGGCTCAGCATTTGTTGTCTGCATGTCATACCGAAGTTTGTAATCGTGTAAACAAAAAAGTTATTAAAGTGGTTGGCAATATCAAAGGGTTTGTTATGAACAAGAATTTAATTTAAAGTACTATCATTCTTTATATCATTTATCTTTGTTCCATAGTATAGTTTCTTCTTTTTGTTACATGATTTCTCAATTTACTGTAGGTTTGCCAGTCTGCTGTGTTGTCAGACTTGTTTGCTATTCCCTTTGCCTTATCCCTCTCAGCCATACAGTTTTTCAATTCCCCATCTATCCATTGGTATTTGGCAGTTCTAACAGTCAGTTTCTTGTAGCATCCGGATGTTCCTCATTACACACATCAGACCAACAAATATTTTTCACATCTTCGACACTTAGGTCTAGTGTTTGGAACTTTGTATTTCTAAATATGGCTATTATATTATGATCACTACATCCGGTGGATGTGGATACTGCTTTAGAGCAGATTTCTGCAACATTAGTAAAGATGTGATCAATACACGTGGATGATTTAGTTACTGTTCTGTTTGTAAATACCCTGGTAGGTTGACTGATGACTTGAACCAGATTGCAGTCACTAGTTACAGCTTGGAGCTTCTTTTTGAGTGGGCAGCTTGATGACAACCAGATCAATACCGCCCTACTCATCGACCCCTTGGCTGTAAGAGGCATTCAGAACAGAAATTCTGTGTGCCTAGGCTGCATCAAAGTACTTAGAAAGCACATCTTGTTTTTCCCGCAGCTGAGCTAGCAGACGGAGAATCTCTTCCCTAAGCTGCTTGATGATGATACATTTGGAACAGACAAAGAATTTATGTTCAATTTATGTCCAACTTATTTTCCTCCTCTTGCATTGATATCATCTCGCACCTAGCGCATTTGAGCCCAGATGTAGATGCAAATACCACTGGTGTTTTGACTCTAACACTGCTAGCGTTATCTTGCTCTCTTAGCATGATGGCTAACCGCTAACTATTGTGTTTTTTAAGCAGGAATCCGGGACACAAACTTTCGTTCCCAGCTATCAGAACTTCCAATGGTTAAAGATAGTTGTTGTTGACATGATTAAAAACTATTTCATAAAAACAACAGATCGAGTGTCGACAGTACACTGATCTGTTGCGTGCTCAGATTTTTTATTTTATTTATTTTTTTATTTTGTCACTTAGCAGACGCTCTTATCCAGAGCGACTTACAGTTAGTGAGTGCATACATTTTCATACTGGCCCCCCGTGGGAATCGAACCCACAACCCTGGCGTTGCATGGGACTATGATAGCTGTTGCGTGATGACGTATGCTCTCACATAGCATTGGGTTGAACTTTGACACATTCAATAATCATGACAGTGTTGGCTCTTGGGGGGATGCAACTCAATCTTAGGAAGGTGTTCCTAATGTTTGATATACTCAGTGTATAAACTCCAATATACTGGCCTGTCAAATATACTGTGCGTGTGTACTAATGTTTCTAACTAATCGTTTACTAACCTTTGATCCCCTGTGGTTGTGCAGTGTGACTGCTTTTGAAGAGATGATCGAGCCGTACCGGCTGAAGGAGGACGACATGGAGCAGGATACAGCGGAGGCACTGAAGGCCAGCGAGCCCTGGAGGATCACAGACAACGAGCTGGAGCTCTTTAGGGCCAAGGTAAATCTAACCACTCTAGCCATCACCATATTACTTACTCCTATCCAGTTATTTCAGATCTGTGAACATGGAAGTGGTAGGGGCTAGCTGTAGGATGCTAGGAGCCAAATAGAACCAAGCCTATAAACCATTTTGAAATGGGGTCCTCCAGAGTCTGGTATTGTGCCCAATGTCTTTGATGAGCTATATGGGGATGAAAGTACTCCCATATCTGCCTATCCTACAGCAAAGTGTGGCTGCTGCTTTAGATGGTAATCTCGTAACCCGACGGATGTGTGTCCACCTTAACCTGTGTTTTTGTTTTGGTTCTTCTCAGACTAATCGTCAGATCAGACTAAACGAACTGCTGAAGGAGCACTCAAGCACAGCTAACCTCATTGTCATGTAAGTAGATTTAAGAGCATTTATTTTTGTGTGTGTATTGAGGCCTTGTGTCTGGGGGCGGCAGGTAGCCTAGCGGATAAGAGCGTTGGGCCAGTAACCGAAAGATCACTGGTTAGAATCCCAGAACTGACTAGGTGAAAAATCTGTCAATGTGCCCTTGAGCAAGGCACTTAACCCAAATTGCTCCTGTAAGTCTCTCTGGATAAGAGCGTCTGCTAAATTACTAAAATGTAAATTGTAATAACAGCTGCTAAGTGAATCAGCTGGGTGCCCTGTAAACTGAGACGCCAGCCGCCCTCACATAAACACTCACTCTCCTCTGTCATCCTCTGTCACCTTTCCTCCATTTCCCCCCACTTCCCTGCCTCTTCTCTTCCACCTTTTCGCTCTGTTGCTCTCCCTTCTCTCTCTCAATCCACTCTTCATCCTCCTTTCTCTCTGCTATATTTTCCTATTCTCCCCCTCTCCATTTTCCTCTCATTTATTCTCCCTCTGCTTCCTCACTCGTCCTTCCCTCTCTATGCATGGGCGCACACAGACAATACTCCACTCGCACTCATTCAGTAGGGCTGTAGGTTAATTGCCCTAGCGTTGTCTCTCTCCACCACTGGCTTGGCTCTGCTTCAGTCCCTGCTGTCCTATCCTATTCACAACACCACATCACTACTGCTCTTCTCACCTCCACCACTGATACTGAATGGGGCCAGTGTCACTGGACCTCCATTTTGTATCTCATTAATGGATGTGTAGAATATGATGTTTCAATGCTCTGTTAGTCAAACTGCACTTTATTGAAGTATGCGTGTGGTATTGAGTTGTTTATTGTGCTGTTGATATACGGGGCACAAGGGTGAGATTTGAAAGGATCCGAAACGGATAGGGCTATTTCTGTCCCTCATCACATTGTGTGAGAGAGTGAGTGCTGTTGTGAAGTCTGTGGGGAAACAAGACTAATGCAATAAAAGTGGGACCTGATGGTGGGGCTGGTCACATTATTGATAGCCAGCCCATGTGAAGAACTCTTTATGTAACTGCCCAGGGAGTGTGACCGTATTGGTGATGTAACGGGAGCCCATCAGACCTAGGGTACATTTTAACTAAGCTTTTGTGGACATATGCCCAATCCCAAATCGACTCCTAGCCTCTACCCCATGGGTATTTTTCTCAACAGGTTATCTTCCCTATTGTGCCTTTTGGTAAGCACACTGTATGACAGTATGACTTCCTAAATCTATCTATCTATCTACAGGAGCATGCCCTTGGCCAGAAAGGGAGCGGTGTCCAGTGCTCTTTACATGTCCTGGCTGGAGACTCTGTCCAAGGACCTGCCTCCCCTCCTCCTGGTGCGCGGCAACCACCAGAGCGTCCTCACCTTCTACTCTTAAACACACACACACACACATGCTGCCTTTGGGACTTCCCATCCCAGCGCCAGTCCTAACTAAGACACGCACACATACACTTCAATGAAGGTAGAAACAGTAGCAATTGATGATAATATAGTAATGATAAAGGATATGGTGTGGAGGTCCAGCCTCTTACACTTCATGACCAAAAGTATGTGGACACCTGCTCGTCGACCATCTCATTCCAAAATTATGGGCATTAATATGGAGTTGGTCCCCCATTTGCTGCTATAACAGCCTCCACTCTTCTGGGAAGGCTTTCCACTAGATGTTGGAACGTTGCTGAAGGGACTTGCTTCCATTCAGCCACAAGCATTAGTGAGGTCTACAAAGTTGAAAGCACAGAATCGTCTAGAATGTCATTGTATGCTGTAGCAATAAGATTTCCCTTCACTGGAACTAAGTGACCTAGCCCGAACCATGAAAGACAGCCCCAGACCATTATTCCTCCTCCACAAAACTTTACAGTTGGCACTATGTATTGGGGCAGGTAGCCTTCTCTTGGCATCCGCCAAACACAGATTTGTCCGTCGGACTGCCAGATGGTGAAGCGTGATTCATCACTCCAGAGAACACGTTTCCACTGCTCCAGAGTCCAATGGCGGTGAGCTTTACACTACTCCAGCCGACGCTTGGCATTGCGCATGGTGATCTTAGGCTTGTGTGCGGCTGCTCGGCCATGGAAACCCATTTAATGAAGCTCACTGTGAACAGTTCTTGTGCTGATGTTGCTTCCAGAGGCAGTTTGGAACTCTGTACTGAGTGTTGCAACCGAGGACAAACGATTTTTACGCACTCTGTGGTCCCGTTCTGTGAGCTTATGTGGTCTACCACTTCGCGGCTGAACCGTTGTTGCTCCTAGACGTTTCCACTTCACAATAACAGCACTTACAGTTGACCGGGTCAGCTCTAGCGGGGCAGAAATTTGACAAACTGACTTGTTGGAAAAGGTGGCATCCCATGACAGGGCCACGTTGCAAGTTACTGATCTCTTCAGTAAGGCCATTCTACTGCCAATGTTTGTCTATGGAGATTGCATGGCGGTGTGCTCGATTTTATACACCTGTCAGCAACGGGTGTGGCTGAAATAGCCGAATCCACTAATTTGAAGGGGTGTCCACATACTTTTGTGTATATATACTGTATGTGAAAGGGCAGTCGGTCAGTGAAGGCCCCACTACTCTTTTCAAAATGGAGACTGAAGAACACGAGGGTGTTCGTTCCTGCACTTCTGGCTAACACCTCCAACCTCCTAACGCGCAAAGAAGTGAACAATTTAATTTACAAAGTCGATTTCCTCTCTGTCTTGAAAGCGCCTGTGCAGGCTATTCACATTATGTTGTTATTAATATTGTTATTATTATTCAGATTCTTCTTGATGTCACATTTTTAAGTTATAGATCATTTAAAAAAATGTCAATGCAGCAATAATCCCCCTCAAATGTTTCATTTTCTTGTGTTGGGAGAGAAGCATGCTTTGCAACACTTTTTATAGCCTTATGGATGTGCCTTCCAGTTGAAATAAAAATAATTAAACTATTAATCGCTCTACCCAGATTGAACGGTATGAAAAATATATATAGATGAATAAGAGTTATTTTCGTTATTAGGTTTTAAATGTAATCATCTTTGTTTTTATTGAGGATTTTTATGCAAGTGGATTGTAGGAGGTTAGCACAGTCTCCACTTGATGGCATAAAAAGCTTTCTCTGCTGTTTATTTTCCTCCTCTCCCTCCATCCCTAAATGGTTTCCTGTTTTTTTTTTTCTGGCCAATGATTTTATTTTCTCTTAAGTTTTTATTTGTCTTCCTTTTAAGCTGTGTAAATGAAATATAATTCCTAGTGCAGTACCCTCTACTTACTTAATACTAGAGGCAATCTGCTTCAATTCTGAAAGTTGATTAGATGACGTCGAAGAGTCTCTTAACAAAAAGCATCCGTGGGTCTTGAATTTGAAGTTCCAGGGTTCTTATTTCCACACTGTGTCAGAAATTACTGCAGTTGGCTAGAATTGGGCTTAGCTTCAGATTAGCTTTGCCATGCTAAAGAGCCAGTTGTCTCACAAAAGCTGCTAACACAAGTATTTCAACCAAGACTCAAGTAGGTCCCCACATTGAAGTCTATGTCACCATAGTGGAATCTATCGGCTGAATCCTAACTTCAGATGCTCCAATTTTACTCAAACCCTTTTGCGGAATTCGTGTATCCATGTCCATGGGAGACTTGTAAGTCTGAGTTACTTGCATATCTCAAGTTAGGACACGGCCCCGCAGGTTCCCCACATTGGAGTGAATCTATGAAGGAACTGATCTAGCCCTTACAACCGAATTAAGACTTTGCCTTAATGCTAGAAGTAATGATTGTTGTCATTGTATTTCTCTTCTAAGTTGTATGATTGAACTAGTGGGTCAGTGCAGATGTAGCTATAGAGGAGTATTGCATAAAGAAGAATGTACTGTCACTCTACTTTATCCAGTATTTTAAAAACAATTCTGTATATGTATATACCATCTTATTATTGTGTTTCCATTTCAAGAAAGCCCCCCTAACTTAGTCTGTTACATGGAACAGTCTGGAATTTGTGCTTGCTGCAGGTTCAACCATTGCTAGAAAAGTGATGTTTCGTGTCAGTCTTTTCTCCAGTAGTGGTGGCATTAGCTCATTCTGCCTCAGACAATAGTCCCTGGACATACTCTGGTGTAGACTGTGTTACGTATACCACTAAACAGTGGACCGGAGTCCTGCATTCATTCATGCCCACGTGTCTGGCTGTTTGTCTGCTTGCCCTGATGTACATTGGACTAGTAGCCTCAATTCTCCCCCGTTTTGTTTCTGTTCAATGCAAAAACAACTCCCACTCTGTCTAGCCTGTGAAGATGAGTAGGCACTTTGCTGAGTATCTTTCAGTGGCTGTTCTTTTTGGGTGTTCAAAAGTGGGGACATTGTAGGTAGAAGCTATGGATTAGCATGTTTCAAGAGAGCACTGATGCATACCTCTATGCAGGTGAGCTACTGTAATAAGATATTGGGATAAAATCCCATGCATGGTTTATTTGAAAGGTTCCACTGTCCCTCAGTTAATTTCTGACCATTTAGGCTGGCCCATAAACCTATTGTCAGCACACTTTGCCATTGTTCTGGGAGAGTTAAAGTAGTGGGGCCTTTCTCGCGGGGGTGAAAATGTCCCAAAGCAGGTGGCCATGTTAACTGTTTCTTTAACTTGTGAATGAGGGTTTTATAATAAGAACTGCCGAAAGATACTGGATCAAAACAGGGCTATTTGCGTTTATAATGTACAGTATTGCCCAAGCCTTACCCAAAACGCTGTCTATATGTCATAGCATCTAAGGCCAACCACGTCATTGCCCCTCTCTTCCCTAGTTCTTATCCTTTATGCAATTTCTAAAAAAGAATGTGACTTTTTCGGCAAGAGGCTTGGGTCAGTTGAATGTAAATCTGATAAACACTAAAGTTGCTGGGAGTTGCTTTTATTTTTTACTTCTGCAGTGCCGAGTTTTCTCAATGTTTTCGCTATAAGCTACATCCTTTTAGATTTCAGTCCCACATGGAAATCCAAGTGCAGTGTGCTTTGTATTTCAGGTTCAATTAACTATTACCACCCACATGACTGCATCTCACCATTCTGTGTCCTTTATCTAGAGAATGACTACGCCATGTGATTATGAATGTGTCTATATACACATATAGTGTAAATATACTAGTGTATAAAATTATATTTCTTTGAAATATGTGCAAAGCATGTAATTATCTTTTTTTAAATGGGTGGGGTATTGTAAAGCTTTTTAGAAACCAGATGGTACAATCTTACCAAGATCTGTTCTGTGTACCGGTGAGTAAACCACTCAACCCTCAGTTACTATACAAAGCAACAATGTTACAAACAAAAACACGGGTTACTCTACATTTATATTTAAATATATAAATAAGAAAATGTATGTCAATACAACCGACCGGGGATCTTTGTCGTGAGTGTGTGTTGCTTTTTTCATCTATGTATAAGTGTGAGGAGTGGAATACTGTAACATCCTCAAAACGTCATTATTTAGGCGAAACCTGACACTACTGTGCTCTGTCCAAGAGACCAAAACATGTTGCCTGTAACTTGTGGCCAAGCCATGTTGAGACGTCTTCATCCTCTGTATTTATATTGATATGCTGTACTGTTAACTGTCACAGATATGCTTTTTTCTAACATTTTGACATTAAGGTTACCAATACTTTGTACATGTTTATTGCAATAAATCAATCAATCATCACTGAAGAACTTGGGTGTTTTTTTTTTAAACTTATGTTTGTTTAGGTTCTTCCTTTATCCACCTATAACTAGCATCTCATGCATTTCTTAGTTGCGCCAGACTGGCATTCAATCCATTACAAATTGTTTTTAAACAAGATATCACCTTCAGAAGTGCTTGATTTGCAAAGCAGGATACAGTGCCTACAGAAAGTATTCACCCCCCTTGGCATTTTTCCTATTTTGTTGCCTTACAACCTGGAATTAAAATGGATTTTGGGGGGGGTTGTATCATTTGATTTACACAACATGCCTACCACTTTCCTTTTAAACCACTCGATTGTTGCTTTATGCTTAGGGTCATTGTCCTGCTGGAAGGTGAACCTCCGTCCCAGTCTCAAATCTCTGGAAGACTGAAACAGGTTTCCCTCAAGAATTTCCCTGTATTTAGCGCCATCCATCATTCCTTCAATTCTGACCAGTTTCCCAGTTCCTGCCGATGAAAAACATCCCCACAGCATGATGCTGCCACCACCACGCTTCACTGTGGGGATGGTGTTCTCGGGGTGATGAGGGGTGTTGGGTTTGCGCCAGACATAGCGTTTCCTTGATGGCCAAAAAGCTCAATTTTAGTCTCATCTGACCAGAGTACCTTCCATATGTTTGGGGAGTCTCCCACATGGCTTTTGGCGAACACCAAATGTGTTTGCTTATTTCTTC